GATTGGAAGAGGCCCTCGAGGTTTTTCGCCTTCCTCTTTAGCATGGGGCACGGGTCACTTGCTGGAGGATTCTCTGCTCCTTGAAGTCTTTAAACTACGATTTGAGGACTTCAATAGCACAGATATAGGTGTGAGGTGTTTTGCAGGAGTGGTAGGTGAAATTCTGTGGCCTGCGTTGTGCAGGAGGTCAGACTAGATGATCATAATGGTCCCTTCTGACCTAAATATCTATGAATCTATCAATGAATCTATGAATCTCAGTAAATTAAATAAATAAATAACCTCTAAGCTTCTTTGGTTACAAAAACAAAACAAAAAACAACCCAAAACACCACCTGTTAAGGGGGGGGAGGTGAAAGTAACAGTCTCTGTATAGATCCATAACAAATGGGAAAATGAGGGAGCCGATAGAAATGAGTACAAATCAGCAGTTAGGAAAAGCAATTGATACGGGAAGCTTAAGTTGTCAATTAAAAATCTGTTGCCAATAAGGTTAAAGACAATAAGAAAGAATTCTTAAATATATCTGAAACTAATAAACCTTGCAATGGTGTAGATCTGATACTAGGTAAGGATGGTAAAACTGTTAATCATGATGTAGAAAAGGCAGAAATATTCAATAAATATTTGTTCTGTATTGGAGAAGAAGCAGGATGATGCATTAATATCTTACAGTGATAATCTCTGTTCTAGCAATAACTAGGGAGGATATTAAACAGCAGCTATTAAAGATAAATACTTTTAAATCAGAAGTAATGAATAATTTGTACAAAAATATTAAAAGAATTGGCCAACAAGCTCTCTGACCAACTGATGTTGATTTTTAACAATTCTTGGAACACTGTGGAAGTTCCACTGAACTGGAGGGGGGGGCACCTAATTTTGCCCCAATATTTTAAAAGGGTAAACAGGATGACCTGGGTAACTATTGGCTGGTAAGCCTGACATCGATCCTGGGATAATCAGAAAGACTGATTATGGGGTGCAATCAGTAAAGAATTAAAGGATGGTGGCATAATAAATGGCAATCAACATGGTTTTATGGAAAATAGGTCTTATCAACCAAAATTGATGTAATCTTTGGATGAAATTACAAGTTTGATTGATAAAAGTAACCTTGCTGACATAATACTTAGACTTCTGTAAGGCATTTAACTTAGTCCTGAACGGCATTCTGATATAAAAAAAATAGCACTATACAAAATCAAGATAGCGCATATTAAGTGAATTAAAAACTGTTAATTGATAGATCACACACACAAAAACAAACAGCAACTGAAAGAAAATATAAAATCATTGCTGGTAAAATTTGCAGATGAAACAAATTTTTTTGAAGTGGTAAATAACAATGGAGAGAGGTTAGTTTTACGGGCTGACCTGGATCACTTGGTAAGGAGGGCTTATTTCAACATGTGTATTTAACCATTTAAATCTAAGGTCAGACATCTAAGAACAAAGAATGTAGGTCATAGTAATAGGATGGGGGGTTGTCTCCTGGAATGCAGTGACAACAAGGAAAACTCATGAGTCAGGATAGACAACCAGCTTAGCAGGAGCTAACAGTATGATGCTGTAACTTAGAGGTTGAACGAGCCATATAAATGGAAATATTGTGTAGTAGTAGGGAGATCATATTACCTCTAGGTGTGGCATTAATGATACCATTACTGGAGCACTGTGTCTCATCCTTGTGTCCATGCTTGAAAAAAGATGTGGAAAAATTGGAAAAAGTTCTGTCAAGAACTCCAAAATATTTTCAAGATCTGAAAAGCATTGTCTTCCTTTTGGAGTCTGTGCTTTCTCCTATCCCACCTCAGAGAGTCTGACGATTATTGAAAACTTTTAGCATACTGGTGGTATTATTTACTTAGATTAAAGAAATTATATGTTGGCAAGTTTCTGATAGTTGTTCCTTTAGGGATTTTCTCTTAAATTCAATATTTATTTATTTATTTTTTATTTTGAAGTGCGTGTTTCCCAGTTCAATTTTCTCTCTAAAGCTTTTTCCTAAATATATGCACGTGAAAAAGGTGTTTTAAAGTTGTGCTGTATTGTTAAATGACCATGTGGAACAGTTGAATTTTTGATGACAGAAAACCCATAACTGTTAAAAATGCTAATTATGCTTTTTAGGTGCAGAATTTGTTAACTATTAACATGTGTCTAATATAGAGGGGGAAAAGGAATTTAGTGGATTTCATGTTGGCATATCAACCACTCAATAAAAGTTTTAGTTTCAGTTCAATTTCTAGTTTTATCAGTCTACAGCTGAGTTCATTTACAAAGTTTGATTGGCCTTTAACTTTGCTTAGCAGAAGTACAGAAGCAAATGAACAGACTAAATGAACTTCAACCCTTGTATAAGGTGATATATCCAGGTCCAAACTAATTTTTCTATCAAAATGCTTGCAGTTGGCTGTCAAGGGAGAGGGATCTCCATTTTCAGACACATGATTAGCCTGAGCCTTGAGGAGAACCGCTGTTGAAGATGAGTGGAGAAACAAGAAAAAGGTGGGGGGAACAGGAATGATTGGGGAAGAGAGGGTACTTTGGAAATGGAGAGGCAAAGAGAGATAACAATGAGTGGGTTGAGGAGGAAGCTAGAAAAGAAAGATTCAAGAATGGAAGTTGGAGGGAGACAGGAGAAGACAGAATGTACGGGAAGGGATTTAAGACCATAGGGGACAAGAGTAGGTGTTAGTTAACAGAGGAAACATGATAGGTGAAATAGAAGAAAAAATCTAATGGAGAGTAAAAGAGGGAGAAAAAAGAAATGGTGTGAGAGAAGTAAAGGAGAGAAAATGAAATAGGAAATATGGGGAAGGAAGAACAAGCAAGAAAACATGATTTATGGTTAGTAAAACATATATTTTAAAAAGTACTCACAGTCTGTTTCATTGTAAATGACCAATGAGGAATACAAACTGATAGAAATTTATTGTAATTTTGTGTAAATATGGCCTGTTGGCTTCAACCAAGTTGTCAGTCTGGCTGTCAGTTTTGTAAAGATTCTGCAACTGGGGATGAAATAAAATGAATCAATCGGGATTTCCCAGAAGGTTGGTTTGGAGCTGCCCTTCTCCTGCTGCAACACTACAGCAGTTAGGTCGACTGAGGCACTTGAGCTAACCACCCTTCCACTGGAATAGGAGGGACTGCTTGGGGTGCATTTTCAGTAAGGAATCTTTGTCTCTGGAATGCACCCATGACCTAACAGTGCTTAATTCCTTTGACTTTTAGGGAACTCTGGAAGATCTATCTCATGTCCAAAGATTTTTCTAAGTATTATAAGAATGACTGAGGAATTGAAAATGTTACACATCAGAGGCAGGAAGTGTTTTGTTATAAAACAATCATTTTATAAGATTTTATTATTATTGTTACATACTTTTCATATATACATTATTCTATAAGTGATTAGCACAGAGCACAGATGCATTTTTTCTGAAATAATGACAGGTTTCAGAGTAGCAGCCGTGTTAGTCTATATTCGCAAAAAGAAAAGGAGGACTAGTGGCACCTTAGAGACTAACCAATTTACTTGAGCATGAGCTTTCGTGAGCTACAGCTCACTTCATCGGCTGCATTCAGTGGAAAATACAGTGAGGAGATTTATATACACACAGAACATGAAAAAATGAGTGTTATCGTACACACTGTGAGGAAAGTGTTCTTACAGTGTATATAATAACACTCATTTTTTCATGTTCTGTGTGTATATAAATCTCCTCACTGTATTTTCCACTGCATGCATCCGATGAAGTGAGCTGTAGCTCACGAAAGCTTATGCTCAAATAAATTGGTTAGTCTCTAAGGTGCCACTAGTACTCCTTTTCTTTTTTCTGAAATAATATATTTGTTTTTCCATTTTATCCATATAGCAGCATTAAAAGTTTAAAATCCATAATTGTTCACTCAAAGAAAATAATGTAATTTGGGGTTACTTCTTCAGCTAGAATTTAATCTAGTAGAGTTTCTGAGCGATAAGGAAAATAAAATTATCTTAATTCATATTTACTGCATTCTTTATATTCTCCACTGGTGTCTGTGTTGTCAAATAAGCAGTGCCCCATGTCTTTCTATTATTTTTTTAGGAAAGTCATCATCTGGAATGAGATGAAAACAAATAGAAACTATATCTGTGGGAATAATATTTCCACTTGTTCAAAGTCTTTGACAATATACTGTAAAGTGAACCACAATCCATATTTTAAATAACTCTAAGTTTTGAACAGTGGAATGTAATTTAGTAATATTCTGTTGCATTTATATGACGTATTTCATCTGGGAATCTCAAAACACTTTACAAACATTCATTAACTTGGCCTGCATCTCCCTGAATATAAATGAGATAGAGCACCTGACAGGATGGTCTCAGGGAGCAGTCTTCAATTTTGAAACTTATTCCCCAACTTGGTTAGCCAGAATTCAGATTTGTTAGCCTTCCAGGCATGCTGCAGAATCTATTTTTTTTCCCTTTTTGATAAGGCAGTTGAGGAGGATGTGAGCTGTGGTGGATGTTTTTATGCTATGGTTTTTGTTTTATGCAATAGGCACGCAAAGCACCATGCAAAGCAAAGCTGTAATTGCATTTTAAAATGTTTGAAGTAATAAATAAATGATAAGTGAAACCTCACAACACACTTATAAATTACTGTAGATAAGTAGTATTATTCCTGCTTTATGATATTGGTAAACTGAGGTACAGGGTGATAAGTGATTTGTCCAAAGTTGACACAGTGAGTCAGTGCAGAGCTTGTGTTAATCCCCTACTCAGAGCACCAGACAACACTCCCTCTCTCATCCTTTATTCAAATAATATGTTCTAACTTCTAACTGAGGTCTCCCAATTAGCTTTACTTTCCTTAATGTCTACTAATATTCTCTGCCTTGGTCTCCTTTCCCTCAGTTATTATTAAAATACAGGTTGGTTGAGTAAGTAAATAAATCTACATTAGATTGCCATCTAAATGTTTTTCTTATGTATTTCTGTACTTCAGGTAATTGTCAAGTCTGGACCAGGCACTTTTCTCAGCCTGGCTGTATATAATGACTATATCTTTTGGTCAGACTGGGTGAGACGAGCTATTCTTCGCTCCAATAAATATACAGGAGGAGATACAAAAGTTCTTCGATCTGATATACCACATCAGCCAATGGGTATCATTGCTGTTGCCAATGATACTAACAGTTGTAAGTTACAAAACAAAATATAATGGGCTCTTAATTATATATAGTTGCTTTCAGAAATTTATATTAGCTTTCGTCAAATTATGTGTTATGGCATTTCATAACCTCTTCTTTTCACTATGTGGAATATTAACTAAAAAATAGAGAACACACCTTTTCCAAAGAAATTAATTTTTCTTGGAATACTATGTATATTTTCTGGATTTAGCATTCAGAATGGAAAAGTACTTAGTAGATTCTTTGCAAATATTCGTCATTTCCAGATATTTCATTTAATTGTTTTATACCTGTGCTAAAAGTAGCTCCATCTTATTAAATACAGTAACCTCTCTGGCATCATGGCATTCCTACCTAACTGGTATATACAGAGACTTTTATTAGAAATCTGTCAATGTATCAGTGACCCATAACACATTTACCCAGGAGACTGAACTGCATTGAAGTCTGATCTTTCAAATAATACTAAGCATTGAAGCAGATATCACAAAGTTAATAGAAGATGGCCTGTTTTTATTAACTTGATAATACAAAAGTTCTTTATTTTTCAGGTGAACTGTCTCCCTGTGCACAAATGAATGGAGGCTGTCATGACTTATGCCTTCTGACTCCTGATGGTCGAGTGAACTGTTCATGTAGGGGGGATCGAATGCTGATAGATGACAACAGATGTGTGAGTAAGTAATATTAGTCGATGTAGTGATCCCCCCCGTGGTGTGGTCCCGTCAGATCTCACAAACAAAATTGGTTTGGGCCAACCCGTTACATGGATTTGAGACCTCTACAGTTTATTGTAGGAAGTAACATTAGTCCTTCAGTAAGTGTCTTTCTTCTCCCAGTCTTAAGCAATGCCCCAGAATGATTTTAGAGGGAACTGTGCTAATGGAGATGACATCTTTTGAATGTACAACTAAAGTTTTGACATTTCTATCCAATAAAGATCCCATGCAGCCTTCTGTAAGAGTAACAATGTTAACCTTAGTGTCCTGGCCAAATTCCAACTTGACTAATTATAGTCTATTTCAATTCCCTGATTTTTTTTTTTTTTGTCAGTTGGGTACAGTATTCTTCACTTCCTGTCCTAAAATGTGTAGCGTTGTTATAATTTGTTAAACAGCTGTCAGATTCCAACATGCAGGGGTGTTGCTTAAATTATTCCTTTTATATAGTTGTATATAAATTTGTATATAAGTTTGTACTCTGTTTGGGACCCTTTAGGATGAAAGGTGATATAAATCAATTATTTCAAAGCCATTGTCCACAGACATCTTTCTAGTTCTCTACTGGACACCCCGTGACACAAAATAATGTGAGGAAGAGGATAGAGAGCTAAATCTTTTATAAAGTAATTGAAGATTCACTGGAGATCCATTGTGGCTATTACTGGCCATATTGTACCTGGTGCTGAACTGGTGTGAATGTGAGGAGAAGTAGCAACTAGTGATCTGAAAGGATGCAGCACATATGTGCACCCTTTGCATTAATCTGGTTCTGATATTTGATTTTGAGGGTGGATAGTATAATTGTCTTGCTCTTACCCCTCCCACATCCCTAATGTTCTTCGTCTTGTGCAGGCTGGGAGAGGGGCCATCTTGGGTCCCTGCTTCGGGGACCAGTCTCATTCAGAATGTGGAGTATTGACATCCTCTGCCCCCTCTTCCTCCCAGCCCCATCAGCAAGCAAGGCTGGCCTGATTTGGAGTGGAGTACATGCCACTCCTTATGTCTGAATTAGCCAGAAATCCTCCAACTCGCCCCACTGTAATTTGATTCCTTTGTCATGGTTACCAGGTTAGCAGCCCCTCTCATGTCTCTCTGAGTGCACCCCCTCAGGTATTAGGCCTTGAGCCTTTGACCACACAGCTCTCTTAAAACGAAGTATTGCTGAATCTTAACTATAGGACGGCAGTGCAGCATTAAAGAAAAAAAATTAAAAACTGAAAACAGTCCATGTTCACTTCTATCTTTCCTCAGGCTTATCATCCCCGTGAAGTTTAGGAAGGCCCAACTGCTTCAGGGTCTCTCCGCTGGACCTGTATCTGTATCAGCCTGTTCCTCATGAACAGCCCCTGACAACTTCCCATCTTTTCTCTAGAGAGCTACTTTAACCATTGGTGTACTTTTGATCTTTAGACTCCCAGCCTTGGCATAACAACTAGCCAGAATCTGGAATTAGCTTTACATCTAATAGCTCAGGTGTTGTCCCTTAACCGCTTGATCTGTTTAACAGGAGGTATTTTATCTGGATCAACTATGTTGTCTTTTTGTTAACAGCCTGTTATTAAAATAAGGCAATATATGCATACAGTAAACATTCCCGTAACCCAATGTAGCCATACAGTAGCTATGTCAATAACCAGTCACATACAGTATTAATAAATTATTGCAGATCAGCCCTACATCCTCCGCATCCTTTTCCCCCACACCCAGCACATGCACATGGTACACTGTGGTTTAAAGCTGGTCCTTTATATTTTATTATGAAAAGGTCCTTAAAATAACATAAATCCTTTTTGCTTGTATTTAATTATGTAGTAGGATGGAAATTAAAACTTTTCTTTCATAACAGGGTAGATACAGTTGATCTAAAGTCAAGTAATGCACCGTTAATGTGCATTAGATTTGGAGGCCTTTCTGCAAAATCACTTCTAACTGGCTATATAATTGAGATATAATGAGTTGTACAGATGATTTGTAGTGGTAACAAAGATGTTAATTAAACCTGTAACACTTACTGAGCAGCAGATTTTAGTCTAGCTGTGAAATCAATGCCAGTAGTGATCAATTGAGATTGTATTTGCAGTATTTCCTGAAAATGTTAATTAAGACATCAGTAACTACGTAAAGAAGCACGTGTCTTGTGTAGCCCTAAAAGTATTGGTAATGACCTACGGTTCAGAACTGAGAGAGAGAGAGAGAGAAAATGGGTCATACAGCTGGTTTGCAATAAATTCTCCAATATAATTAAGTCTGGAGCATGGCATGGCATTTATATGTCCCAAAAGCATTATAATCCTTAATTGGCACAGCTTCAATGTATGCCTTGTGCCTCCTCATGCAAGGTCCTCATGTTATGTGAAAAATAAGCAATCTTAACTTTAGGCTTACAAAAATACTGTAGTGTCATTATATGAGTCGCTATGTTTCAATCTAGAAAACTGTTAACTGCTGGTCACCCCATATGAGAAAATATATTGCAGAATTAGAGGGGGTTCAGAGAACGGTGATGAGAATGATCACTGGAAAATCTTTCATATGAAGACAGACTGAAAATATTGGGATTGTTTACCTTAGAAAGGAGACAGATAAGAGGGGACATATGTATGTATATAAGTATATAAAGAAGGGAGATCAGGACCTTCTATTCCTTCTCACATACCCACCCACCCACACACAAAACACAAGAACAAAGGGACAGTCATTTACATTGAAATGTAGGTAATTCAAAACTGATAAAAGGAAATACTTTTTCACTTGGTGCATAATTAGATTGTGGAACTTATTTCACAAGATACTGAAGTCAAGAATTTGGTAAGATTCAAAGAAAAATTGGATGTTTATATGGATAACAAGAATATCCAGAGTTATAGACTATGCAAAAAAAAAATGTTTGGAATGGATAAAATCCTGATGCTTCAGGGTTTAACCCAATCACTAGCTATTAGGGATTAGGATGAGATTTTAAAGTGGAAAGATTATACAGCATCTGCTTACTGTGTGTTTCCTGTACCTTCCACTGAAGCATCTGGTGTTGAACACTGTCAGAAACAGGATACTAGATTAGAATGCTAGAACTGGAAGGGACCTCAAGAGGTCATCTAATCCAGTCCCCTGGCAGGACTAAATATCTAGACCATTCCTGACAGGTGTTTGTCTAACCTGCTCTTAAAAATCTCCAAATCTCCAATTCCCAGGCAATTCATTCCAGTGTTTAACCACCCTGATAGGAAGTTTTTCCTAATGTCCAACCTAAACCTCCCTTGCTGCAAATTAGGCCTATTGCTTCTTGTCCTATCCTAAGAGGTTAAGAAAAACAATTTTTCTTCCTCCTCCTTGTAACAATCTTTTAAATACAGTACTTGGAAACTGTTCTCATGTCCCTTCTCAGTTTTCTCTTTTCCAGACTAAACAAACCCAGTTTTTTTTAATCTTCCTTCATAGGTCATGTTTTCTAGACCTTTAATCATTTTTGTTGCTCTTCTCTGGACTTTCCACTCTTCTCTGGACTTTCCAATTTGTCCACAATTTTCCTGAAATGTGGTGCCCAGAACTGAACACAATACTACAGTGGAGGCCTAATCAGAGTGGAGTAGAGTGGAAAAATTACTTCGTGTCTTGCTTACAATACTCCTGCTAATACATCCCAAAATGAAGTTTGCTTTTTTTGCAACGGTGTTACACTGTTGACTCATACTTAGCTTGTGGTCAATTATGACCCCCAGATCTCTTTCCACAATACTTCTTCCTAAGCAGTCATTTCCCAATTTGTATGTGTGCAACTGATTGTTCCTTCCTAAATGGAGTACTTTGCATTTGTCCCTATTGAATTTCATCCTATTTACTTCAGACCATTTCTCTAGTTTCTCCAGATCATTTTGAATTTTAATCCCCCTAAAGCACTTGCAAACCCCTCCCCGCTTGGTATTGTCCACGAACTTTATAAGTGTACTCTGTATGCCATTATCTAAATCATTGATGAAGATATTGAACAGAACCAGGTGGACCCTGAGTCTGATTCAGCATGGTAATTCCCAGGATCCTAAATAAATAATAATAATAATAATATTTCTACATAATAAGAAATGGGGGAAGAAAGGCATATGAAATGTTTTAAGATGCACATAACTAATCTTTGGAGGACTCATGAGTTTCTCAACTTCAATGTCCGATAGACCTGTAAGGTTTTTTTGTTGTTATTTCCGACCAAAACTGCCATCCTGAATAGTCCAGATTTTATCCTGATCCAGAATCCATGTTTTCAGTGCATCACTTCTTACTTCATAATTATCTTCACATTGGAGCTAAATAGAAATATTCTTTCAAATCAGACTGGTTCATCTTCTATAGTACAGAGTTCTGTTCCTTCTAGAATGAAACAATGGGACTGATATGAAAACAACCAGAACTATAGCAGTAGGAAAACATGAATTAGGGTAATATCTTCATATTGTTATCACCACTTCACCCAACTCCTTCCCCTCCTCAAAATAAGCTTTTTGTACTTTACCTCCCAGGATTTAAAAAAATCATTCAGCAACAATTCAGTCATTTAGACCAATACCTATAAAATAAGTGTGCTCTAATGAAGTTCAAAAGCAATTAAATTATTGTTTTAAATGCTGCAATACTATCCCAACTGCTGTTGCTAATTAATCTAATGATAAGTCAATATATGTGAGAGAAAGCAGAAATCAAGAGGTTACACATACATACACATTTTCCTTTGAAATGATAACTACATTATTGCCTCTGGTAAACAGATTAAAAACATGCTCACACTTCACATTTCTGTGGTTGATTTGTGGCAGATACAGATGTACTCCGTATGGTGTAAACAACTGATTTTCTGCGATAATTTTGCAGGCCATCACTTCACTTCAGCTGCAGAAGTAGAACATTATCTGCCTGACCACTGCAGAGTATGTTTGTTTACAGATGGAACATTTGCGTAGAGCCATAAAATATTATTGGGGATTTTAGTTGCAGCGTCTGGTGGATAGTGATAAAGGTGTTTTTCCTTTAGTTTTTGGCTGTGCTCAATTGAAGAGATCTTGAGTTATTAATAATACCCAGGAGGCACAACGCATTTCAACACTTCCATTAAGAGATTAAAATATGCATCATGGGATATTTCATGACGGGCTGGTGAGGGAAAGGAGAGAGGAAAACTGAGCCAAACCCAGAGTTATAAAAATAATTAGAAGCCTCAGCAAAATCAGTGCCTCTAATTTGCCTAGATGCATAACCATACATTAGGAAAACTATCACAGTCTTTGGTTAGTTTCACCTCATCTGGAACTAATTAAAATTATTTGTTTTTATTTGGTTAGCACCAGCACTGTCCTCATTACTGTACCATACCCTAAAAGAAAGACAACCTCTGTCTGTGATGGGGCCACTCACCTCACATGAGTGCCCCTGCCAGGTGTCTCTGCACCTGCACTCTCTCAGCTTTGCTCTGCTTGCTGTGACCCCTGTTGATAGTTAAAATTCTCGAGCAGGTTTTCAGTGATTCGGACCTCCAACTGAGTCACATACAGTTTGAGCCAAAACAGACCCCTTCCAAGGCACACGTCCAAGAGGGCCTCTCATGGTGCCTTCTGTAATGTCCCGATCCATTAGCCTCAGCCCCTCATGGGCTATCTTCCAAACTGTCCCTCAGCCCTTCCTGGGCTAGCTTCCAATGGTACTGCTTTGTTAAGGAGCAGTGCCCCAGGGTCACTCCCTAGTGACTCTTCACTCTGTAGTGTGCCTTCCTGACCCCAGCTCTCCAGTTCAGTTTAATCCCCTTTGGGTGTTAACACAGTTCAATTAAATGCTGACCTTCTGCCCCCTTCTCTGAGCTTCACTAAGCTCCCTTCTCTGGGGTTAGGCCACTCTGCCTGTGGGGGCCAGGAGGGGTAACCTGGGCCTACCCAGTACTCTGGGTTCCAACTCTGGGACCCTATAAGTAGCAGCCACCAGCTGCATCCCTGTAGCTATTTGCTGCTGTGTTTCCATGGGCCACTTCCCTTCTTAGCCCCAGCACTTTCAGCTGCACACTTATCTCAAGGCTGAAGTCTTGCTTGAGTCCCAGTTATCAACCAGGGCACCTTCCTTGCTCCTTTGGCTCCAGCAAACAACTGCTCTGTCCAGGTATTGCAACTCCTGTACCTGTCCTTGCTGCCCAGGGTCCAGCCAGTGACTAATCTGCTCTGTCCAGCAGCTCCTTTTATATGATCCCGCTGGGTTCTGATTGGCTGCTCCCTACAGCCTCTCTCTGATTGGCTGTTTCCCCGCAGCCCCTCTAGGCAGCCTGGAGGACCCACCACTCCTGCTCTTTCCTAGGGTTGGGTGTGGTAGGACTGCTTGATTTCCAGCAGGGGGCCTCGAAGGGCCAGATTCACCCCATTACAATGTCCAATGAGCTTACAATCTAAAAGATAGACACAATGGGTATGTCTACATTTAATTTTGTAGGTTAGGTTTTAACATATGTTAATTAATATAGTGGTGAATACAAGGGCTGGCATGACACAAACATTTGTTGTTAGTTGTGTTTTTAAAATGAAGCGTGCAACCTAGGATTAAAAATGGCTAACAACAAAGTGTCTGTCCTGGGACAAGTGTTTGTGTAGTGTCTACACTAGAATTTACAATTGTGTTAGTTAGCACTGGTTTAACTGTTATTAAAAATTCCAGTGTAGACATAACTAAAGAAGACATGATGCACTGGAAAATCCATAGTTGGAGTTATTGTAATGAGTGCATGTTTTGTCCGATGTTCCTTTTCCTCCTCCATTCCCTCTCAGCAAAATCAGGTGGATCTGTCTACTGAATAAATATGGTTTTTGGCCCCTCTTGGAGCAGCCAGTCCACAAAAGTTCCAGTCTTCTGCCTCACAAGACAGACATGGAGGCTCCATCTGCTGAAAAGATTGCAGAGGTTTTCATTTCTTAAGAGAGAAGAGAAAGAAAAAAGCCTTCACTGTGGTTTTGGGAACTTTCAGTCAGAAACTAGTTGTTGCTAACATTCTTGGCAATGACGCCCTTCATACTGTTGGTTATTAGCCCCAGTAAGTTCCCATTATTCAGGTCAGGCATATGATTTAATTCTGTTATGACTCTGGTACCAGGACTTTGATGAGGTTGGGTTTGTCTTCCTCTTACTCAGCTCCTCTGCACACATAGCTTAGTGGCAAATATCCACAGTCTACAACCTGCTCAGCCCACAAAAGAGAATAAGGGTGGTGGGTGAATAGCATTCAGGACTTTGGAGCAGAGTGTTCTTTGGAAATGGGTGAAATGGTTCCCTTTTATCCAACTTTTACTCTTAGTCCCCTTATTTTAGGCCTCTACTACCACACGAGTCAGGACTTCATTTGGATATACAATATGGCCCTTCTTTTGTCTTCTTACTTCTCAGCAGACTCAATTTAGCAAACACTGGTTACCATGTATGATTGTGTGACATTATTGGCTTTCTGGGCTATGCCATTGAATTTGTGTGCCTTGTCTCTTTAGTCCATCCCCAATTTCATCAAATCCACAGAAACTGCAGATCAGTTGAGCAGCTGTGGGATGTTTAGGTAGCAAGTCCAGTCTGAAAGTTTAATTATTCTAGTTGTACACCTTTCTATTCACAGTTTCCAAAAACACAGACAAAGTCATTTGGTTTTGGACTGTATATTGCTTAATTTCCTTGTGCAATGCAAACTATTAAAAATGATTTTTAACACTTGTATTTTGTGTGTGTGTTTGTGTGTTTAGCTAAAAACTCCACATGCAACATTTACTCTGAGTTTGAATGTGGAAATGGTGAATGCATTGACTACCAACTGACCTGTGATGGCATTGCTCATTGTAAGGACAAATCGGATGAAAAATTATTTTATTGTGGTAAGTGTTCTCAAACATTGTCACTTCAGTTTCTTAATTTGATTTCATCATTATTCATATTAAATTCAATGTCTTTCAAATTGTTTTTATATTCATTGGCTTACATTAAGTACATTGAATCCCAACATATGTTATATCATCTATTTCTGGTCTTAAAACAAAAACAAAAAGAAATCCACCTAGCTACTTACCTAAACCTGAAAATCTTCTCCTACTTATTCTCAGCCTTAATCTGGCAATGTAGATTTATCTTTCACTTTTAAATACAATTGCATTAAAATTGTCAGTGATTGAAAATAGGAAAACACTAGTATGGAAGTATTATAAAGTAGAAAGATAAGTGTAGAGTATAACAAAAATCTCCCCACTACAGTTCTTTGTAACAGCTGATAACTCCGTTATCTTCTGTTAAGCAGATCTACATCCTGGATGGGTAAAGGGGTTATCATTCCTTCTCCATCCACACGTTAGGAAAGTATTGTTATTCTTCCACCACATTTCTAATCTGTTGTTTCCTGTCTGTCCCAACAGCCAAATTGCTCATCCACACCATTGCAATATCCAGCTTTATCTACCACAATCTGTTCCTTCTACATATCTGATAGTCACTTTGCCAACTCCAGTCTGTCCAGAATGTTGTTAGGAAAATACTCTTTCCCACTCATGTCACAGTCCTTGCTGAGCCACTGCATCAGCCCATTATTCTGTACATTAAGTTAAAACTCCTTGACATTCAAAGCTGAACATCATGAAGCCTCTGCCTACATACTGGTCTCATTATGTGTCACTCCTCACCCTCTTCACTCCCTCAGTAATGCCATCCTTAATATCCCTTTAGATTCATCTTGCAAACTTCTTCATGCCGTCATCTATACTGCCCCTTAAATTTGTTACACCCTCCCTAAACCTTTGTATCAAGTCACCTGTCTTGCCTCAAGCTCACTTCACCATCTTGCTTACAAGGAATGAGGTTGAAGAAAGGTAACAATAAAATAAAAGATAAAAAATAACAGGCATCAAGGTTTAGTTATCTTGTGATACTATATTTTCCCTCTCGTTCTTCTTCCCTTTCTCCATCTATGATCTTTACTTGTGTTCTGTCAAACTTTGATTGTGGGCTACTCAGAAAATAAGGACTGTGTTTTTAAGTTCTTGTTGACAGGTCCCTAGCATATTTTACATGATCAAAATAATTAATATAATTATAGCACCACGTTGATATGGAGGTAATTCTAAAAGAATTGTTTTTAGTGGAAGATTGTTGGAAAAAACATAGCAAACAAGAAAGTGAGCGGACAGAATACAAAAAAAATGTTGGTGATAGTTAAGGGGAAAACAGTTAAGACAAGATAACTTTTCTATCTGCCTGGGGCATGGAGCAGCACAGAGCTGTACCACTCCACAAGCAGACCAGGAAATGAATTGTCTCTCTGAAAATCATAATTCCTCCCCTGTTTCCCCTCTTGCTCACTTCTATTGAAATTGTTCCACTTTGTGTAAAATACTTGAATAGTCATTGAGCCTGAAGAGTGAGTGAAAATGACTATAGTCTGGTGATTCAGGCTCTCACCTGGGAGGTGGGAGACCCAAGCTCACATCCCTTCTCCAATGACTTTAATTATTTAGACTTGGTGGAAAAATTTCAATAGGAGATTGAGGGAAAGAGATTGAGGAAAATCCAACCCAGAATATCCCATAGCCCAATGGCTAGGGCATTCATGGAGACCCAAGTTCAAATCCCTTCTCCAGATCAGGCAGAAGGGGGAATTCGACCTAGGTCTCCTACATACCAGGTAAGTGTCCTAACCACTGAATTAAAATTTCTAAGGTCACCATCATGACTTCCTCCTCCATATTGTAAATTGCGCCAGAAAAAAATAGTAGTAACTATTTCGCAAATTCATGAACAGATTTGGTTGATCTGAAACTGCATTTTTTGCAGCAAAAAATCTACTCACTTGAAAAATTTCACAAGCTCTACTATTCACATGTGTAAAATTAAACATGGTACAGTATATCTACTCTGCAAAGAAAAATCCACAGTGCCAAGTCTCAAAGCCTGGGTCAATTGACTTGGGCTCGGACTGTGAGGCTAAAAATAGCAGTGTAGACATTCCTGCTCAGGCTGAGCCTGGGTTCTGAAACCCAGCAAGGGGGGAGGATCTCATATTCCAGGCTCCAGCCCAATGGGAATGTCTACACTGCAATTTTTAGCCCCGCAACCCAAACCCAAGTCAGTTGACCAGAGCTCTGAGTCTTGATGCCATAGCTTTTTCTTTGCAATCCATACAGATTTACTCCATGCATGAACATACTTGGTCGGTTTAGCTACCCTCTCAATTCTAGCATTTGATAGTGTGACAAAGCTGTCCTTGTCTCTATGGTTTCCCGCATTTCCTGGCAGATTTTGCTCACTTCAGAGGCTCACTGTGACCCTCCACATAACCCTTCTCTCTCTAGAGACAAGGGTCACAGTCTACTGAGCCATTTTCATCATAAGCCAGCAAGGGAGGTGAGGAGAAGCTATCCACCTTTGCACAGTCTCTGTTGTCTCCCAGTCTCAGTGATTAATCTGGGGGGGAAGGGAAGGGGGAAGCCCAGGCCCACCCTCTACTCCAGGCTCCAGCCCAGGGACCCTAATTGTATCAGCTATGGTAGCTGACCTTTTAGAAACATGACATGTACCATTCCCTGGGCTACTTCCCCACAGCAGCCCCCACTTCCTCAAGCTCCACTTCACCCTTACCTCAGGGCCTCCTTCCTTGTGCCTGATATGGTGTGTACTGCTCAGTCTCTCCAACAGTGCAACTTCCTCCCACAGCTCCTGACATCCACACCCACCTGACTAACTGGGAGGCTTTTAACTAGTTTCAGCCAGTCCTGATTGGCTTCAGGGGTCCCAATCAACCTATCGTTCTCACTGCCTTCTGGAAAGTTCTTAATTGGCGCCAGGTATCTTAATTGACCTGGAGCAGCTGCCATTTAACTTATCGTGGTACCAGGGATTTGTTTACCTGGAGTTAATATATCTATCTCCCACTACTTTTCTATAGCCATCTGGCCTTGCCCCGTTACAATAGTAATATGTTTTCTATTACTTTAATTTACCTTCATTATGTTTGACAAGATGTGTATAGGACATTGGCTTCTGAACAAATTCAGCATCTTTTCAGTTTCTAGGTGAGCAGCAGTGTTCGTGTATTCCATATAAACATAGTTATATTTATAACAGAATGATGTTTTAAACAAATTAATAAAAAAAATAAACTCTTACCATCACAAGATGTTGAACATTGAAAGTTAAGGTTTTCTTTACAATTCTTTTTTTCTGTAGGTAGAGGTATTAGAATAATTGACTGGTTTATGTGTTTGTCCATCAACTTCTTTCAGTTGGACAGTAAATTATTAGTTTCACATATTTTTTTATAACTTACCGTGAACATTTCTGAAGGAAATGTCTCTGGGATGTTTGCTTGTTTGTTTAAATTAAGTGCTTATTTATTATTTGTGTAAAATTTCTATATACAATGTCTATTACATTTACTTTACCAGAAAACAGAAGCTGTCGGAGAGGTTTTAGGCCTTGTTACAATCGCCGTTGTATTTCAAACAACAAAATGTGTGATGGCACAAATGACTGTGGTGACAACTCTGATGAACTGGACTGTAAAGGTAAATTCCAGCTGCTTCTATCTATGTCTAGAATGTATGTGTAATTTTGGTTGGAATTATACTTTTTATTTGCTTTTATTTGTGTGGTTTGGCTCTAAACCAAATGTGTGTGCATGCACTAGATTGAGAGAGAGAGATCAGAAGAAATATTACAATGCTTGCTGACGCCTGTGAAATATTCCTGGGTAAGTGTAGGTGAAGATACATTCCTTCCTTCTCTCCCCCACCTGCTCACAAGAGACTCAGATGGTTTTCCACAGTGATGGCTCCTGTATAAATTATATTAGATGAAAAGAAGTGATGTGAAAAGAGTGAAACCCAGCCAAAAAAATTGACATATGGCAGAGTCCTAGGTTTAACCAAGATTGTATCCTAGAGTGTCTAGGTTTGCATGTACAATTGTGTTTACTTGAACTAATTGGGAATCACTTAACTTTCATTACATCATGACCAAAACCTCTGATCTGGTCATAGTCTAAGTGACTATTATTAGGGTTCGATAGATAGTGGCTAAAAGCCCCACATACTTGTGAGATGGGGCTTTGTGGCAGTGGGAACCTCCAGGAAAAGTTGTGGCTGTGATTTTCTGTTCAGCAATGTGTGTTGTGGCATCTTTGTTATACTGGGCGTGGGTATGTCTTGTTCTCTATTCTGGATCTGGGCAGCTTTGTGGATGAAGAGAAAACATAATGTTGCTGGTTGCACTAGCCATGTTCAGTGTCAGTTCTCCCCAGCCATATTGCAGTTTGGCTCTGTCCAAAGCTTATTGGAAAAAATATTTTTAAAATACATATGCTATAAATATTTTAATGTCCTTTTACAAATGTTAGTGAATATAAAGTAGTTGATAACCAACACAAATCCTGAGTTATGTTTCAAAAGAGGTATAATTATGACAAAATCTCAAGCCAGAACCATCAGAGCAAAATCTTTTAGATATTAGTTTTGCATTAATTTGCATATTTTTGTAATCACTTACATGAATGCCAAGTCAGAAAGAAGGAAGGAAGGGATGGTGTATGTATAGGGCAGGGGAGAAAGGCACAGAGAAGGGGGAAGGGAGTGCTAAAGTGTGGTGCCTCAGAAAAGGATGGGGGAAACAATGAAGTGAAGAGGGAGAAATTATTAATTGTAGGAGAGAGAGGCCAGAACTCAGTTCATTCTGTGGAAGGAGGTAAGGGGTTCAGAGGTTTGATGAATTGGGGGGCAGTGCTTCTCACCTTCAGCAATGGAGGAAGGGCCCTCATACTTTTCTGTGTATCTCCCCTCCATCCTCCTGTGGCTGCCATACTGACTGCTTGCTTCTCCTCTTTCCCTGCTTTCTAACTCCCTGTAACAGGACAGCACCCATTTCTTGCGAGTGCCCCCCTCTGGTCGGGTGTGTTTGCAATCTTTCAATTCTAGTGACCCCTGTGGGTGGTTTCTCAGGTAGTTTTTCAGTGACTCAGCCCTGCAGCTGAGTCTCACATACTATATGTGCATCAGAACACATCCCTTCTGGGGTATACAGTCTTTAACTCGTCCCTGCCCAGGTATGGAGCTGTACCACCAGGGCTTGCTCCCTGGAGACACTGTCTTCTTGCAGCCCTCACTCAGTCCCAGCAGCTAGTCAGGAGCTCCTTTACTCCCCGGTTCCTGCTCGCAGCTATGTTGGACTCAGTCCTAGCAGTCAGCCAGAAGCTCCTTCTTTGGTCCCTGCCAGCAGACTGTTCTGGGCTGAGTCCCAGCAGCAAACCAGGAACTCCTTAGCTCCCCCAGTCCCTGCCCACACTGAGCTGTCCATGGTCCTGCTGCTCTTTCAGCCAGCCAGAAACACAGACCTCTCTCCTCCAGCTCCTACTGGACCCTGAATGACTGCTCCCTGCAGCCTCTCTCATTGGCTGCTTCCCCACAATCACTCTGGGCTGCTTGGAAGATTCTCTTCTTGTCATTTCCTGGGACAGTGTGTGGCAAGATCATGAGGCGTCCAGCAGGGTGCCTCTGAGCCTACTTCACCGTGTCGCCCCCCGCTCCCATCGCCAGTGTTTCACTCTGTGCCCTGCACCCTGCCTGTAGGCTAAGGGAAGTTACAGCTATGGTAGGGGTCTCTTCTAACCCTCCCTCCCAGGCTTGGGTCAAGGGAAGGAGCAGCTGTAATGAGGTGTGTTGAGCACCTCCCACCCCATGCCTGGACTTGCAGGAGCAGAGGGTGGAGAGGGTAGGAGAGCTAACACACTTTTCTACTGGAAGGAGGTAGGGAAGAGAGAATAGAAAAAAAACCAGTAGCTCATGGTGGACGCTGCTTTATCCTTGCCCTTCTCCTCCTATGAATAATGTGCTGGTTTGGAGGGGAGAATGCAAGGGCAGATTGATATAGTTTTCACTTGATGGAGGAGAGAGCAGAACTGGACCTAGGCTGCAGGGATCTGTCTCTGCAGGACTACCCCTCCATCTTGTGAAAATGGTATGGGCCCAGCAGCTCCTCTCCTCACTCCTACCCTGCTTTAACTCTCCTGTCTGCTCCTGAAAGGGAGAGCTGTATCTATCCAAGGCAACAGCTGTGATTAGCTGCTCTGGCTCAGAGAATGGGAAGAGGAAGCCAATCACATAGGGATTTCTACTTGGGCCAAGAGGTTTCCCCTCATAGCCCTAGAAAGTCTTAAATCTCATAGTCTGTGGAAAAAGCCATAGGGTTGGTGGGTCTGAGACCAAGAAACACAATATTCCAAACAAAGCAAAATCAGTGTTTCATATCTTCCCCTAGATTTGTCCCGTTAACCCTTTTCTCACTACCATTGTCTGGATTGCTGTTAGTGGATGGCGTATAGGAGGGTAGAAGGAATTAACCCATCTATCAAAGGGCTTCCATCCATCCATGATCTTTGAAGGAGATCTCTGAAGGAGAAACAGATGCAGATATTGGACTAACTTCTGTGCACATTGAACTTCATGTCTCTGAGGCGTGGCCTACACACAAAGTTGCATTGGTTTAACTCAAGTTGTGATTTTAAGCTGATATATATATAGATATAGATAGGCCATTCCCCCCCACCCCCTAAAAAAGCTTCTTGTTGTAGCAGGCACCACTTAATCAAGTTCAAATAAAAAAAAAGCTTCTGTTTATATAGGTGAGACATGCAGGGTTTAGTGTTGCTTTCATTGGTAACAATTGAGTAGGATTGTGGAACCCATAGGCTGAAGAAGTGGTGTTTTTTGTTTGTTTTTAATAGATTATTTTCTGTGGGCCTCTCGTACTCTCTCTGAAGTTGTGGCAGTGGGAATAATGCTGACACCCTGACAGAGCTGGTCTCTAGTGTCAGGGGAGTGAGCATCTTGTATGGTCTTCCCAAATTCTCTCCAACTCAATGCAGAAATGCACTGTTCTACTGCAGAAGAGCTCTTGGTGTACATGCAGGATTTATCTCTTAGTGAGCAGTCTTTTAAAACATTTTAGTAAACCTACAGCAAGCTGAAATAAAATAATTAAAGACATCCAAAGGTAACAAATAAATATGCTGTTTCTTTTTTCATTTCTTTTTTTTCCTATCAAGATTCATTCACAAATAAATCAACTGTTTCTTCAAATAATAAATACTGGTTTCTAGGCTTGCACTTCATCCCAAGCTTAATGGATGAATGGCAGCAAGATAGTGAATATTTCCAAATGAATCTAAGAGGTTTATTCACCAGAGATTAAATCTAATGCACAAACTGCTTCCTGTGGTTCTTGACAAGACTCCTTATTAATGTTGAATGAACCTCTAGAGTTTCACAATTCTGGTTTGATGCAAAGTTCAGATGTGTATCTGAAGTGTATTGAAATTGCTAAGCTTTTAAAGAGCTACCTATCCCAGACTTTCTGCTTCTCTCCCCACTACCATTGTTATGGGGAGACTTCTCTGTCCCATCCAGTGGTAGCAGCAACACTCTTTATAGAAGGATTGATACTTTAGGAGGATTAAGGCTTTGTACCCTGTCTCTAGAAACACATGCAGATACTGGACTACTGTGCACATTGAACTTCATGTGCACAGTGAACTTCATGACTCTGAGGCATGGTCTACACACAAAGTTGCATTGGTTTAACTCAAGTTGTGATTTTAAGATGATATAAACTGAGTTTATAATGTCCACAGACAGTTGCACTGATTTAATTGCTCTGGTTTATAAACCAGTTTAAGTTAAACTAGTGCAACTATTTTGTGTAAATGAGCCATAAAGCCTCCCAGGTAAATACTTCCCATGCTGTATAGCACAGCTATGAAGCCCCAGTTCTGAAAAATTTGGTGTTTTCTGGGATTCTTAGTCCTGTCTTGTCAGTACTGAGGAAGTCCCCAGCTACACAGAAGACCACCAGCAACAATTATGGGGAGCAGGAGGAGAAAGTAAAGAGTTAACCATCCTTCCTTGAAATTCAGACACAAGTTGGTTGTTGAAGGTTCAGGAAGTTATTATTTGAATTATCCAAACTACGTTGTCCACCCTATTGATAAATACACTTCAAATAAAAAGTAGTAACTGATCTGTCATGGATATGTTTATATCCTTTTACTTTTAAAAATAGTTTTAGGCGTTGTTGAAAAGATTTTTGTGGTTTCCTGGACCACACAGATTTTAGTTGCCAGGGAGAAAGGATGAGGATATTTAAAAGGAAAGATTGTCTTGCCACAGTCAATCAGATTTAAACTCCCCTCTGTAGCCTCAGCAAGGAGAAGGTGAAGTGAACAGGCAAATAACATCTTACTGTCATTACTCAACACTTGTCTGAGTCCTAGATGTGCTGGAAACAGATGTTACTCGTACTTTGGAGTTATGTGTTATAATGAATTTTTGTAGAAATTAACGTATGGTTCCTAACCTTTTGTTGTTGAAATCTACCTACCCTGGTGGGTTGTAGGTCGAGTGCCCACCTCCTCCTGCACTCTTACACTATAGGAATATGTGCACTGTAATAAAACACCCATGCCTGGTCTGTTTCAGCTGGCTTGGGCTTATGGGGTCTGGGCTGTGGGGCTATACAGTTGCCATGTAGACGTTCGGGCTTGGGTCTGAGGGTTCCAGAGCACAGGCTCCAGCCTAAGCCCAAACATCTGCACTGCAATTTTATAGTCCCAAAAGCCGAACCCCACAAGCCCCAGTCAGCTGACACAGGCCAGCCATGGGTGTTTTCTTGAAGTGTCGTTATTCCTTCTTAGACGTACTTGAAATGTTGGTACAGTGCCTCTCTTTCTTTTCTCCCCTGCCCCATCTGTGACTTGGACAGGTCATTACCTGATGGGTTTATCCTTCTGAAACATGGAAATAATAATAGTTGTATTTACATACCTCACTAAAATATTGTAATAAGTAAATGTTTATGAAGTGCTCAAGATCTTCACATGAAAGGTGATTATAAGAAATGCAAAGTATTATGATTTTTATATTAAGTATTGTGACTATTTTAGAGTTTATGCAGCTTTAGCTTATCTTTGTAATTAATTATAATATTAAAATGTCAAAAGCTATAGTACTGAAGAAACTGTCATGTTGAAGGCCATCTCCTAGTGGAGCATTTGTAATCACAATGTGCATTTTGAATGAAAATCTTACTTTGGTACATTAAATGCACAAAACAGCTTGATGCACCTGTTCTTTCTTTTCCAGCAAATGTTATGAACTCTCAACTCTTGTGATAATATATGTGTAAGAAATAAAACAAATCTCTTTCTAAGGCCTTTTCACATAAAGATATTACTTGTGATACATGCTTTAACCTTTCTTTAAATGCATGGTTACTTTAAAAGAGTGGTTTATTTATAAACTTTCAAAGCAATGCAAACTGTATGTAACTGTTTCTCTTTGTTACTATATACTTTGTAGATTCAACATGTGCTTCAACAGAATTTCTCTGTGCAGAAGGGATTTGCATTGCAAAATCAGCACAATGCAACCAGCTCATTGATTGTGCAGATGCTTCAGATGAAAAGAATTGCAGTAAGAAATTCAGTTTTCTGTCACATTTGTCTCTGTCTCTCTTTAAAGTGCTAAAATGTTATCCACATTTGATCTGCAATTAACTCTTATTTGTGTTAACTGTTATCTTGGATATTAATATGTTCAGGAAAGCTGAATAGCCCCTAAAAAATATAGTCTGGGAACCCATGTTGCAAAGCGTATCAAGACATTGATCGATTGATCGATCTATAAATATATAGATTTGATGGTGTAGTATTTTATTTTCTCTTTCCAGATAACACAGACTGCACTTATTTCTATAAGCTTGGAGTAAAATCTACAGGGTTTATTAGTTGTAATTCTACTTCACTTTGTATACTACCAGAATGGATATGTGATGGATCTAACGACTGTGGAGATTATACAGATGAATTAAAATGCCCAGGTAATTGTGAAAAGAAAAATAATAATAATCTATATCTGTACTAGAGATATAGAGAAACTATGAAAAATATGTATCCATTCAGTACTATGTGTTTAATGTACAAGTAAAGATATTCAGAAGAAGTTGCCTCCTTCACCCATGTTATCTGTGTTAAGGGGGTATGCAAATTATCACTAATTAATGCTGAGGTTCCTCTGAAGAAAACCGCATTGTCTTTGGCTGTATTTTTCCCCATTGTATGTCTGTCATTAATTATTTTTATTTAATTGGAACTTTAATCATCAAAATGTCTAAAGTGTCAAGATTCAGCAAAATTGCCCAAAGCCTATGAGTAACTTTTAATAGTCAATTGTATGTGTTGCTTGATTTTTTTTCCCTCTGCTTTCATGGGTGTTTGATTGAAGTACTTAGTACAAAGCTTTGAGGAGAGTTGTTCCACTTTAAGAGTTATCTGTTTATTGTTTTGGTGATTATATTAATCTTGTTCTCCTTTAATTGCTTTTCTGTATACATATTCTACTTTTGGAGCACGTCAGAGACCGGAGACTTTTGGCTAGCATTGTCTGTTGGGGCCATGCACATACCTTGAGTATACTCATGCCCTTCATCTAGGGCATAAAAGGGTGGAGCAGGCCACTTGCCACTGTCTCACTGCTTGTGGCTTTGACATGGAGCTGCTCTCTGTCCCCTAGAACGTACAGCTAGCTGTCTCTTTTCATTCCTTGTAGATATTATCCTAATCCCCAGTTGTAGTTAGTTTGCTGCTTGGCACCAAACGTGTAGTGTTTTCAGGGTAGGTTTCCTTTTTACCAGGAGAATCCTTATTATTTTCTTCCAGGTACTACATCTCAGTCCCCTGGTTATGAATATTGTCACTAATGTCAGGATACTATGGCCATTAATGACAGGCATAAGGAATGTTTATTTTGTATGGGGGAGTTGCACATCCCCGGTAAATGTAAGTTATGTAAGTCCTTTACACAAAGGACTTGAAAATCCAGGCAGGCTCGCCTCCAAATATTTTTAATGGATCGGTTGATGAGACTGGCTTTAGACCATGGGTCCTTTGACCCGTCTGTATATGACCTGTTGGTATCTAAAAGTACTCCAGGCAGAATGGGGTCTATATCATCTCAGGCTCTGTCAGCTTCGTCTTCAGCCCTGAAGTTGAGGCAGACTGAAAATGATGTTATGCAAAGAAGGTACATGGCGCGGAGAGGCAGATCCCCAGCTAAGGTCTCCTCTAAGAAAAGAAGAGCTTTCCCACACCAGTCTACCTCAAGAGAGTCCTTGTGGCCCCGTAAGGCTACTGCTGAGGCTTGATTCCATCTTGGTATTGAATCTGCAACAATGAAGCAGCACACAAAAGTCCCAACGTGTAATGCATCATCTCAAGTTCCCTCCACATCATGAAATTTGGTACTGTCAACTTCCTGAATTACTTCCTCAGTACCATTAGGCTCCAATCTTGTGCTCTGGTATCACCAGTACTGATGACTCTGGTATTGTCAATGCCATCATTCTCCACCTACACTCTGCTGTTTGCTGTGCTGCACAATACTGTGCTGATAGCATAAAAAGCAACAGGGAATCTCCAAGTGTACAAGAATCAGAATCTCCAATACTTTCCACTAGTTTTATTTCTGTAGTTCTGGCTCCATCTTTACCCATGGTACTGAGCATTTTTATGTCCACACCGATTCATGGGCCTTCAATGCCAGTTTCTTCAGCTGCAACAACAGACTTACAGTGCTGCTCTTGAGTAACAATCTACTCAGGTGTCTCCTCAGTCTGAGGACCTAGACAAAGAGATCCCATCTCACTCTGCTGACTTCTTGGCCCCCACGAGAAATCCTCATCAGCACCAGATGAGGCTGTGATCACTCCTAGTAGGCCACAGCCTTTAAAGAGTTTCAAGACCATCTTAAGAGGGTATCAGACTCTTTGCAACTTGCCCTTGAGGAGATTCAGGAATCTATTCAAAAACTGATTGACGCCTTTCAGTCTTCTTCTGCAGATAAAATAACCTTCCAATCAACAATGCTGTTATGGACCCTGGTAGAGTTCTTTGGCAGACTCTGGTCACAGCAGCTCCTGTGCTCGTGGCAGGGGGCGATTATTATTTTACTCATATCTGGTGCCATTTCCTTTGTGGTGACAGCTGTTATTAAAAAGTCAAGACAACCAAATAAAAGTACACCAAAGTAATATGAGCCTAAAAGATGGGATTTATCTGGCAGAAAATCGTACTTGTCAGCTAGTTTGCAATATGGAATTGTGACTTATCAAGCTCTGCTGGCCAAATAGCATTTTTTAAATTATAAGAAGTTCTTGACATTCATAGACAAACTCCCTCCTGTGTTGAGGGAAGAATCTTCCTCTCTGGTGACCAAGGGCCAAATGCTGGCCAGGACCAGCCTACAAGCTGCCCAAGATGTGGCAAACACTGCACCATGATGAATGGTTATGGGTTCAGAAGAAGATCCTTATGGGTTCAGGGTTCTATCTTCCCATTGAAGATTCAGTTCATGGTGGAGGACTTGACTTTTAAAGGGCTGGGCTTTTTTAGCTCAAAACAGATGATGCCCTTCATACACTGAAGATTTCTTAAGCCACACTTCATACCCTACGGCCCCTAAAAGGAAACATATCAGATAACCAGTTCATACACTGCAGAGACCTTTTTCTCCTACATGCTCTTGCCACCAGAGACTATCCTAACCTTTCAGAAAGAGGCAAAACTTTCATAAGAAAACACCATCTTCATCAACTTCCCATACATCACAGTTCGCTCCTAGGTCAAAACACTCATTTTGGCAGGACAGATAAGAGATGTAAACCCACTCCCAAGAGTCTAGAAGCAACATCCCTTCTTTTTGGAAATTGATTAATGGTTTTTTTTTTTCACATATGTATGGAACTCTGTACCTAAGACCAGTGAGTGCTAACATGATTTTGATGAGATAGTCTATCCAATTGTATACTGAGCCTACTCCCAGCCTCTTCTGCTTTGTTCCTCTTCAGGGAGCCATCTCATGAGGAATTATTACACCAAGAAGTCCTCTTATTTATATCTCTCAGAGCAATAGAAACAGTTCCACCTCAATACCAAGGGAAGGTGTTCTTTTCTAAATACGTTCTTATTTCAGAAAAGAAGGGATGATGGGGCCCCATCTTGGATTTATGAAAACTTAACAGAGTATTTAAAAAAAATCCAGAATGTCCAAATGTGGATGAACTTTAGACAAGTATTCAACATTTTAAATGTTTATATGAAGTTACTGTCTGAACCGTTCTTTTTTAATTGGTAGTGGTAGTAGTGATGGGCAAACCTCATGTGTAAGAGGGAAATGCTAATGTGAGAATTTCTTCTGAACTCATGATAATTGCCTCATTTTCCTCATGATCCTAGTACTACCATTTCTTACTACTAATTAGGAAGTCATTTGGGTTACCTTCATTTTAAAAGTGCTGTACAAAGTCAAATTCTATTTGTCACTCAGATGCTACAGTGATTAGTGGAATATAAATATCTAGATAGATCATTCTGAAAGAAACTTTTGTTTTGCTGATATTTTGTTTGTCTCCCTCTATCTCTTTGATACAGTTGGAAAAGTTAACATGGCTTTCTTCATGGTCTAGCTGACATTTTTTCTCTCTCCTTTTTAATTAATGTTGTGCTGAGATCACTAGGCTTTGTGTTTGTGTGTTTGGTTGTTTTTTTTTGTTTTGTTTTTATGGTTAAATAGTTCATGTTCCTTCTTAACAAACATTAGACCCAATCCCACAAAAATTTACTGCGAAGCGTAATGTTTATTAATGGAACTATTCACAGAAGTAAACACTGCGGCCCAACACTTTAACTCGTGCTTAATCCATCCCTGTTCACAAGTGCAATAAATGTTAAACACAAGCTTAATAATGAGTTCCATGTTATAAATCTACCACTTTAAGTATGTGCTCAAGTGCTATTCTGAATAGGGATGCTTTACTGAATTGGGTCCTTCATTTGGTAGTAAATATTTTAAGGATTGGACTCACTGGGTGAAATTGTGGACCCATTGAAGACTGTATCAGAAATCCCAATGACTTCAGTAGGGTCAGGATTTCACCATTTTTTATCAATACAGAAGATACCAACAAAGATAATCCTGGCATGTGAAAACAGGAGTTTCTAAAGGAGGAAGTAGAAAACCAAGGTAGCATTGAACCTGAGTGATCTTGAACCTCTGCAGTTAATCTGAAATCGAGTGTAATCCAATTTTATTTTCAGTGGGAGAAAACTTGCTTGAGATTTTGGAATTGACTGTGTCAGTCAATATATTTGTATTTGCATCTGTGTCAGGAATTCACTCATTAAATATGCATACTTTCATCTTTCCTTCTGTAGAACATTCCACTTTACTGAAGTAAAATATGAATGTATATATCCCATCCCCACCCAAAAATAAATAAAGAAAACCAGATCGAACCAAGGTCAACAGCGACCAAGGCTCCACTGATGAGTGAATGGCAAACTTCACATTGATTTCAAAAGTAACCATCTGAAAGCTGTGTAGTGGCCTATCTGAAATGATTTGATGGTGTCAGTTCAGATTCCAGTGAATTTCACAGATAATGCTACCATAATTTGGCAATCCTATTGATCACCGCAGATAGTTGAGGATGGAACTGGAGGGCCAGATTGTATAAATAAACGTATTTCTGTTGAGCATGTCACCATTGACATCAATGGACTTATGCTGATTTACGTCAGCTCAGCATCTGACCTCTAGATTGAACTACCCCCATATCCTTATACTCTTGTCGGTCAAGTTGAGATACATTGTTGGGGAAGTGTGGGGAAACATGCACTACTACTACTAGTTCTCTGTATAGAATAGTTCAGTTTCCTGAGCTAGCAATCTGTCTCCTTTCAGAGAACTATATTTTCACAAAAATAAATTTTAAAAATATCAAAAATTCATTGAAAAAGAGGCCACTCTTGGGGGTAATTGGAAAAAAGTAACCTTTTCCATTAGTTTTGAGAAATTCAGTGGAATTGTATTAGTTTCCTAATCATACCTAGTAGATACCATTTTACCTTACATTCTTTATTTTATCACAGTTCGAAACAAACACACATGTGAAGAAAATTATTTTGGATGTCCTAGTGGAAGATGTATTCTGAACACATGGCTGTGTGATGGACAAAAAGATTGTGAGGATGGAGTTGATGAATTGCATTGTGGTAAGAGCATTTTATCTTGTTCTAGCTACTAAAACCATTGATATGCATGTGCAAAAGAAGATTTATAATTCATATTTTTATATAAAAGTATTCATTCTTTATCTAACATTTTATTTCAATGATTTTTATTAATGAACTCTTTGAAATCCAGACAGAAGGGTAGAGAAAAATATAATGCATTCAATACTTTAAAATTTTCTACTGCAAATCAGTAATCTTTATTCTATAGATAGTTACTGGGAAACTTTTAGGGAATATGTCTATTGTTAAACTTCTCAGGTCCAACCTTTGTAGAGAGAGATGATGGCAATACCCAGACTCCCCTCAGCTTGGCCTAAAGATAGTGGTAAATCCAAACACAAACTTGCTTGCTTCTGCCATGGTAATGAAAAGGGGAAATAAATAGTCGTAACTTGATAAATGGTGCAATTTTCTGCCCAAATCAAGGTAGAAGGAGAAGGCTTTTACTACTGCTATTCCTCCATTCTCAGCAGGTCTTCTGAGCTAGGGCAAACCCTCTGCCTGGCTCACTTCATGGACAGTTAATGTTTTCCTAGCCTATCTTTGTTTGTGGAATATATACCTCAAGACAGGTTGGCTATAGAACTTTGTGAAATAAGTACTTGGATTTACATACATTGAACTTAATATATTTTTTTTCCATTTTCAGAGCAAAATATTGTTTATTTTCTGTGTGCAACAACTTCCTTTTGGACTTTTTTAAAGCAAATTCCAATTGAAAATGAAAATCCTGTAGTGGAAACAAGGATAGAGAAAATTACCTATTCAGGATTTGTCTAGACACCAAAGTTGTAATGCTGCAGCGATAACAATTTACTTTACTCGGTATAATCCCCCATTCTGGACACAGTGATACTATTATAAAGGTGTTCATAGTAGTAAAGCTTATTCTGGGATGGAGAGAGGACTAAGCTATACGGTATTTAGACACCTTTATACTGATACGACTGTGTTCATTCTTGATCCTGTGTCAGTATAACTTATTTTTAAAAAGAAAAAAAATCATACCCCAACCAAAAAAGTTATACTGGTACAAACTCTGCATGTAGACCAGGCCTAAGTAATTTCTCTCTCTAATATCCATGATTCTATAGTATTGCTTTATTGCAGACCCAGGAAAATTTGATTTATGATCATAATGAGATTTGGTCTTTTCCCCTCATGTTCTGCAATTTCACCAATCTAGTCTCATCATTACAGAACTAAATTCTAGCACAATGGCACAGTCATTTGTTTCCTAGTTGCTTTTTGCTCCAGACTGAAACCTGAAATCTGTGTACACGGTGTGCTTTTTTCTCCACTCATCGTGTGGTCAGGAGTTAAACTCTACCCCATGAAAGGCAGAAGGGTCAGACCTAGACACCATTTACCAGGCTGAGCCTGTCAGCAAGCATTTTAGGCTTTCTGTTTTTCATTACTTTAAAAAATATTAAGAAACCCATTTGCCTTTTTTTGGTTTTGGCTACCTTTTTCCAGTGTACTGCTCTTATCCATTAGAAAATGGTGTGAACAATGTTTAATATAATTCAGACAGTAATAAATGACTTTTTTCTATTATTCATCTTGAAATTATTTTTCTATCAGTTAAATCATACTACATTTATTCTTGTGGGAAGGATGGAAAAAGGAGACTTGAAGTTTTCTAAATGAAATTCTTAATATGAAACTGGATTTATTTGATATTCTACTGCAGATTGATTTTGAATTGAAGCAGAGCATTGTTATTTCCCAATGTATTCAAAAAAGTAAACAGTTAGAACAACAGAATGCAAATATAGACCAATTTTCCAGATGAGAAAAAGAACATGGAAGTCTTCTCAAGATGTAATTAAATAGTGAAATACAAAGATGATGGAAATGATTGAAGAATTGGACTACTTGTCTCTGCACTTATTACCATAATTGCAAAGTGGTTTGCCATAGCAAAAACATGTATGTGAAATGCATGAACTGTTCTCTTATTTTAAAAGTTCTTACCTTCAGCCTACTCATAAAATAATTTTAAATTATTTTAATTTAAAAGTTTTGTGTGTCCTTTTTACAAGTATTAGTGAACATAAATCAGTTGGAAACCAACACAAATCCTGAGTTCTGATTCCAAAGGGACGTAATTATAGTATAGTTTCATCTATAGTTACAGCTCTAAAAAGCAAGGAAGAGCTTTTACATTATGCTAGTGCATGCAGGAAACTCACTTTTACTGTGAACATAACAAGCATAGTGGCTGATATCTTCCCCAGATTCATCCTGTTCATGGAATCAGTTTGCTTGCTCGGCACACAAATGTATCTCTAAGCAGTGGACTTGTGATGGTGAAGATGACTGTGGAGACGGCTTAGATGAGAGTGATGCTATTTGTGGTGAGTACTATAATTTTTACTTATTTTATCACATCATATTTTTGGGACGTGCAGAGCAATTGCACGGAAATTAATGGGAGTGGAGAATGTACAGCACCTTTAGGTCATGCTCTTTAACCATAAGCTATTAATTGTCTTTATTTCTCGAGCACAGATGATTTTTCTGCCTCTGGCAGATACATTTTTGTGAGTGGAGTGTGTAGTTTGTGGGTCTGGCTTCATAAAGTAGTGTACAGGGGCAGTTACCCCGCTCCTGAGAGAAAAGGCTAGGCTGATTGGAGAAGCAGCCACAGCTGGGGCCACACCCCAATCAGGCCACTCCTGGCCCTGTTATAAGGGCTCAGGGAAGAGCTGGGTCAGTCTGTCTCTAGCTGTGGAGAGAGAAGGGCCTGGCTGTCTGGGAGAAAAGGGTACCTGGAGCGGAGCGGAGCGGAGCAGGGCTGGGGAAAGGCTAGAGGAGCTGTGGAGCTCCAGCCTGGCAACTCCCCAGGCTGAGGCCTTGATAAAGACCTATGCAGGTACTGGGGAAAGGAGGTGCAGTCCAGAGATAGGCAGAGGCAGTTGGTCCAACCTCCTTGCCAATGATGAGTGGTCATGACAGACTGCAGTTTGCCCCAGTGAGTAGGGGCTAGATGACGACTGGCAGTAGCCACTGAGGCAAGGTGGATGAGAGGGTTGGGGATTCCCCTGGGAGGGGAGACCCACAGCAGGGGTACTGCTGGGGCAGAACCCCAGGGTAAGGGGCACTGGGGTCCAGGAGAGACATGGGGGCCTGAGACAGGTGAGCCACTGGCCTGCAGAGGGCACTCCAGGATGGAATCGAGCTAATTCCTAGGACAACCAGCAGGAGGCACCACACTGATGTAGATATGGTGAACCAGTTTGGGCAAAATAAGAACCAAACTTTTGCCTGTTCTCCAAATCTGAGCCAACCACTGTAAAGAGGCCCCCCTGTTCTAAATACCTTTATATTTTGGTGATCGGTGCCTAATGCCTATCAAAAGTCTCTGTGCTGTTTCCTGCTGCTTTCTTTTATTTTCACTAGATACTGTCTTTTCCATATTTAGTCAAACCCCAGCATCCTTCTGAATCTTGGTGTCTTTCTGAAAATCCATAGCTCTTCATATCTTACCTGTTTTGGGGAATCAGATATGTCCCTTGTATTCCAGAGTGCAATTAAGTAGAGAATCCCTCATGTATGGGACTCAATTTCATCTGTTACCATCACAATTACTAGAAAGAGAGGGATCTGGTGTGATATCTGTTTAACAAGCAAGATTGCCCTCTCTCTTACTCTTCCCCGCCTCACTGCCCCCCTCCCTCGTGCCGCCTGCCCCCCTCAGGCCGCAACAGGTTTAGTGAAGGCAGTGTAAAGAGAGAAGGGGCAGGTACTTCAGACATATCTGCTATGGTACATTGTCAAAACCTAAGAGACTTCATGGCCTGAGGCTCAATAGGCTGCATGCCCACTAAATACACAACTTCAAGTGAAAAATAGGAAAAGTGAAAAAAAGGAGGACCAAACAAATCAATAAAAGCCACCACTCCTTTTTTAAGTTGTTCAGATGTTACCTCTCTTCCTTATCTATGACTTAGCATTGGTCATAGATCCCTTTATGGATGAAAGCTCTGTCACAGAATTATCTGGTATCTCTGAAGATTACTTAAAGACAAAATGCTGTGGAGTGGGAGACAAGGCCCTATTTCATCTTAGGAGCAGGAGACAAATAGTTTCCAGGTAGAACAGGGCTGTCAGAAAGCGTATGGGTTTCCCAGTTCTCTGAAACATTTGAAGTGTACCTATCTCTAACATAACGTAATTTAACTTCAGAAGTGTTTGAAATGCCAGTCTAATAAAAGCAACATGAGTTGTTTTTCCTCTTGGTTAAAATAATTAAAATGAATCATAAAATAAATTCTGTGAGTTCATTTAACTTTTGTATTAAACATTCAAAGGCGTGAATGGAAATCTACTTTCTCTCCTTAATATATGCCAATTTGTTATACCTGAGAAGAGACATAATAATGATGGATTACATAAAAGCAATCCCTTTAAAAAGTCTTTAATAAGTACTAAAGGATAAATAAAAATCTGTTCTAGAGGAAAGTCTGTTTTAAAACAAACATGAAAAAGCCAACCTTAGCAATGAAAAATTATTTTCTTTATGCTGGTAAAAGTCTTATAAAGTGCTAAATATAAAGAATTTTCCAGGAAAAAGAAGTACATTCATTGAAACTGTTGGGATTCTTCTTACCTCGCATTCATTGTTCAATACTGGGCATTTGGGCCCTGATTTGTGGCCTGATCCTGAGCTGCCGTGGGAGTTGACAGTGATGAGCAGAGCTGAGGGTTGTTAGAACCCCCTTCAGGATCAGGCTCCTTCTCCAATAAATCCAAATACTCAGTAGTTGCCAAAAACATCTGTCTACGCTTTCTAAAATTGTTCTACTGAATACACTACATAAAGTATAGTAAGATAGCTTGCCTCTTTCATTTACAAAAAAGGTGAATGACCGTGTGAATAGGGTGAACATATATAGAAGGAAGGGTAGATATTCAAACCTTTAATTTAGAATACAATCCTCATCTGAATTTTTAGAGTACCGTACAGAGGATAATTTGTTGTTTTCATCTTTCTTTTAAAGGGAAACAAAAAAAGCGCTCTCCTAGAACTATTATTTATAAACCTCACACAAATTACTCAATTTGGATTTAGCAACCCTAATCTGTAGCTTTTTTTCCAGGATCGGTAACCTGTGCTGCAGATATGTTCAGCTGCCTAGGTTCCCATGCCTGTGTCCCCCAGCGCTGGCTTTGTGATGGTGAAAGGGACTGTCCTAATGGAAGTGATGAGCTCTCTCCAGCTGGCTGCGGTATGTGCTTTTTATGCTAAACTTGTACATTTAAAAATATATTCTGACGTTTTCTCTTTTCATGGTACTTGTTGGTGTCTTTTATTTCCCGCTGTGGGCCTTCTACCCACTACCAGATGGAGTATTTGGCTGTATGGTGCAACATATGAAATACTGTAAATCATCACTGGGTAGAGATTGGTCAGTCATACACTGGGCAAGATCCTCAGATTAATTAAATCATCATTGTTCCATTGACTTCAGTGAAGATATACTGATTGACACTAACTGAGGATCTAGTCCACTATATGTAACACATTGTATATGTTTCAAATATAAATATTTGTTCCTTTTTTCACCATATTAGACAACAGTGGAAGTTTTATTATTGATTATGCATTTTACATGCTTTTAGCAAGAAAAAAGTATATTTTTGAAATCACAGAAATTAGCTGTTTTCATAGAGGAGTAAGATACAATTGTATCTATAATTTAGTCATGTTAATTATTCTCATCTCTACTTCTGGTACTTTATAATCTGCTGCTTCCCCATCTTTTGTTCTTGGTACCACTCCACTTTCTTGTCTGTAGGTATATGGGTTATAATCCGATTAAGGATGTCTGGGGTTTGGATTTTATCTGTATTTGCTTAACTAAACTATTTTATAAATTTGAAAATGTTCAGATAATTTTCTCTCAGTTGACTATGTATCCATTATTGCATGAGGTCTGGGGTGGGTTATTCTACAGAGAGTTACAGAGAGCTGTCATTCAGAAGTAGTGTAACCAGGAGGAATTCTTTGCAGAACATTCTTCCCACAACGAGGCAGTGCTGGGTATTACCAAGTACCCCTGCCCCGTTGGTGTTTTTTCTTGTTTTGATTATTTTTTTAAGTACATTTGAATCTTTGAATCTACTTTTGTATTCCTTATTTTGAGGGCAAGTAGTGCCTTCTGGTATTATATGCGCCTGACAAAGTGCGTGATTATTTGTTGCGAATCAGTGAGCACTAGTTAATTTACTTCACTTGTTTTTCTAATAAGTAAAGTATCTGTAGGTCCTGTTGTTCTGCGTGTTCCTTATTTTTCTTATGTGCTGTTTTTTCCTTAGCTCCTAATAACACTTGTGATGAGAACTCTTTCACATGCCGTAATAAAGTCTGCATTCCCAAACAGTTTGTATGTGATCACGATGATGACTGTGGAGATGGATCAGATGAGTCGTTGGAATGTGGCAAGTATAATTTAAACAATTAACAGTGAGAAAAATCTCAATCTGAATAATAGGACAGACATTTTTAAAAGCCTATAGGGAATGAAGACAAGAATTTTTAGAAAATTTAATATTCTAATTTACTGTTGAATGAGACAATTGTTCACTTTCTAAATTTGTTTTAATATTTGTTTGTAATCTAATGCTGTTCCTGTTGAGCACAATTTTGTACATACTTATTTGAGGCAAAAGCTATATGAATTTATAGTTGATTCTTTTTAAAAATATGAGTTAATAGAGTTAATATATGAAGTAAATACATTATCAGTAATCTATATATGTTCATACTGCAGGCTAATAATAAAGTACAAACTGTGCCATAGTAAGCAGTAAAACTTCTTTGTTGCTGTTTTATATTCTATACATACTGTATCTGACTGCCTGACCTCACCATTTTGCATCAAGGAGTTCTTGGGGCATATAGCCCCTGTTCAAAACTATGCCAGTGTGTTTATCTGCAATAGTCTTAGGCTTAATTTTCAGTAGGTTGTGTACACACATGTGCATCCACCACATATATGTATGTGGAACTCAGGAATTTGTGAATGCGCAGTTAATGTGCATGCAAAATACAAGTAGATATGTGTGCACAAAATGTCCAAGCCCAATCTGTTGGTAATCTGGCCCAGTATGTAGACAAAATCTAAAACGCCTTCTGTGTGCATGCTTTCTCACTTTATGTGAATGTGAGCATGGTTGCGCGTGTGCACACACACATAAACAGTTAGAGATGATCTATGGCTTCTATGAGGTTTCTATCTATATTAGGCATTGCTAAAATTTCTATCATCTATGGCTTATACATGGGTAACTGAAATATATATGAACATCAAGCGATTTTAAGAGTGAAGCATATGTGATTTTTTTATGGTACTATAAACCTTATGTATGCTTATCATTTCCTTATGCCGTAGTATTAAATCTATTATACGATAAAGCGTTGTGGGAAGTTAATGTGACCATAGTGTTCCAGATAAACACTTATTTTTCTCTTTGTTCCTCCAGTCCAGTCCAGTCACTTGGAAGTACTTCTTCCTTTCCATTAGATGGAAATAGAGCATTTGAACTTCTGATATCCCTCTGTACCTAAGGGTCTTGCCCTTTCAGAATCTTCAGGTGTTTCTGTATCCTGCAGGTGATACAGTTACCAAGATGGTTAACTTTTCCTAGGAATGGGAAGATTTAATCCACATCACCAAGACTAAAGTTGCCCACTCCCAAATGCACCTTACCACTCATTGTAAGAGGCAGCATGAGAGCTGCTCCCTTGTGAAACGGGGAGGAAGGGGGCAACCAAATCAACCCTGCTCCTGCCACAGTCAGCTCAAGCACCTCAATACCACAGAGACAGTAGCCATAACAGAATGACAACCAGCGCGCCTACTTTATTACCCCTTGACTCCAGCTCCTTCTCCGTGGTGGGTCCCATGACATCTCGGAGAGAACACTGTGTGGACTTCCTTTACTGTCAGCAGCGTTCATATGCCATTAACTTTTGTGGGTCAGTATTTTTACCATCACAGGGGGCATTTCCCTTCCTTTGGAAATCCTATTCCCATCACATGGTTCTCCCTTCCTAGACACGATTGTTCTTTATCCATGCCCTGCAAACTATAGAAGAGCAGCATCTGAGCTGGAAATCTTCAAATTCCTTGACTCTGCCTATCAGTCTTATAGGGCAGCAAAGTGATTGGAATACTGTTGTGTATATATTTAGTAAATATTTATTTCTTTAAAGATAACATCATTGTAGGATTCTTACTCTCAGGGTCTCATGGGGGTCTAAAGTTTTTTAGCTGTAAGTTGATCTAAGGTGTTCCACCAGTTGAGCATGCTCCAACTATATGCACTGCCGTGTCCTTGAAAATTCTAGATCCTGTCTGATCACAGTCAGAGGATAGCTCCCAGAAGCCAGTGCCCAAAATGTCAATCTCTTCAGCATTTCATTTCTTTTCTTTTCATAGAATCATAGAATAACAGAGTTGGAAGGGACCTGTGGAGGCCATCTAGTCCAACCCCCTGCCCAGAGCAGGACCAATCCCAACTAAATCATCCCAGCCAGGGCTTTGTCAAGCCTGACCTTAAAAACTTCTAAGGAAGGGGATTCCACCAACTCCCTAGGTAACGCATTCCAGTGTTTCACCACCCTCCTAGTGAAAAAGTTTTTCCTAATATCCAACCTAAACCTCCCCCACTGCAACTTGAGACCATTACTCCTTGTCCTGTCATCTGCTATCACTGAGAATAATCTAGATCCATCCTCTTTGGATCCACCTTTCAGGTAGTTAAAAGCAGCTATCAAATCCCTCCTCATTCTTCTCTTCCGTAGACTAAACAATCCCAGTTCTTTCAGCCTCTCCTCATAAATCATGTGTTCCAGTCCCCTAATCATTTTTGTTGCCCTTCGCTGGACTCTCTCCAATTTTTCCACATCCTTCTTGTAGTGTGGTGCCCAAAACTGGACACAGTACTCCAGATGAGGCCTCACCAATGTCGAATAGAGGGGAACGATCACATCCCTCGATCTTCTGGCAATGCCCCTACTTATACATTGGCCTTCTTGGCAACAAGGGCACACTGTTGACTCATATCCAGCTTCTCGTCCACTGTCACCCCTAGGTCCTTCTCTGCAGAACTGCTGCCAAGCCATTCGGTCCCTAGTCTGTAGTGATGCATTGGATTCTTCCGTCCTAAGTGCAGGACTCTGCACTTGTCCTTGTTGAACCTCATCAGATTTCTTTTGGCCCAATCCTCCAATTTGTCTAGGTCCCTCTGTATCCTATCCCTACCCTCCAGCGTATCTACCACTCCTCCCAGTTTAGTGTCATCCGCAAACTTGCTGAGGGTGCAATCCACACCATCCTCCAGATCATTAATGAAGATATTGAACAAAACTGGCCCCAGGACCGACCCTTGGGGCGCTCCGCTAGATACCGGCTGCCAACTAGACATGGAGCCATTGATCACTACGCGTTGAGCCCGACAATCTAGCCAGCTTTCTACCCACCTTGTAGTGCATCCAGCCCATACTTCTTTAACTTGCTGACAAGAATACTGTGGGAGACCGTGTCAAAAGCTTTGCTAAAGTCAAGGAACAAGTCCACTGCTTTCCCTTCATCCACAGAACCAGTTATCTCATCATAGAAGGCAATTAGATTAGTCAGGCATGACTTTCCCTTGGTGAATCCATGCTGACTGTTCCTGATCACTTTCCTCTCCTCTAAGTGCTTCGGAATTGATTCCTTGAGGACAAGCTCCATGATTTTTCTGGGGACTGAGGTGATGCTGACCGGCCTGTAGTTCCCAGGATCATCCTTCTTCCCTTTTTTAAAGATGGGCACTACATTAGCCTTTTTCCAATCTTCCGGGACTTCCCCCAATCGCCATGAGTTTTCAAAGATAATGGCCAATGGCTCTGCAGTCACATCCGCCAGTTCCTTTAGCACTCTCGGATGCAACGCATCTGGCCCCATGGACTTGTGCACGTCCAGTTTTTCTAAATAGTCCCGAACCACTTCTTTCTCCACAGAGGGCTGGCCACCTCCTCCTCATGCTGTGCTGCCCAGTGCAGTAGTCTGGGAGCTGACCTTGTTCGTGAAGACAGAGGCAAAAAAAGCATTGAGTACCTTAGCTTTTTCCACATCCTCTGTCACTAGGTTGCCTCCCTTATTTAGTAAGGGGCCCACACTTTCCTTGGCTTTCTTCTTATTGCCAACATACCTGAAGAAACCCTTCTTGTTACTCTTAACATCACTCGCTAGCTGCAACTCCAGGTGTGATTTAGCTTTCCTGATTCCATTCCTACATGCCCGAGCAATATATTTATACTCTTCCCTAGTCATTTGTCCAATCTTCCATTTCTTGTAAGCCTCTTTTTTGTGTTTAAGATCAGCAAGGATTTCACTGTTAAACCAAGCTGGTCACCTGCCATATTTACTATTCTTTCTACACATCGGGATGGTTTGTCCCTGTAACCTCCATAAGGATTCTTTAAAATACAGCCAGCTCTCCTGGACTCCTTTCCCCCTCATGTTATCTCCCAGGGGATCCTGCCCATCAGTTCCCTGAGGGAGTCAAAGTCTGCTTTTCTGAAGTCCAGGGTCTGTATTCCGCTGTTTTCCTTTCTTCCTTGTGTCAGGATCCTGAACTCAACCATCTCATGGTCACTGCCTCCAGGTTCCCATCCACTTTTGCTTCCCTTACTAATTCTTCCCGGTTTGTGAGCAGCAGGTCAAGAAGAGCTCTGCCCCTAGTTGGTTCCGCCAGCACTTGCACCAGGAAATTGTCCCCTACAGTTTCCAAAAACTTCCTGGATTGTCTGTGCACCACTGTATTGCTCTCCCAGCAGATATCAGGATGATTGAAGTCACCCATGAGAACCAGGGCGTGCGATCTAGTAGCTTCTGCGACTTGCCGGAAGAAAGCCTCGTCCACCTCATCCACCTGGTCCGGTGGTCTATAGCAGACTCCCACCACGACATCACCCTTGTTGCTCAGGCTTCTAAACTCAATCCAGAGACTCTCAGGTTTTTCTGCAGTTTCATACTTGAGCTCTGAGCAGTCATACTGTTCCCTTACATGCAGTGCAACTCCCCCACCTTTTCTGGCCTCCCTATCCTTCCTGAACAGTTTATACCCATCCATGAAAGTATTCCAGTTATGCAAGTTATCCCACCAAGTCTCCGTTATTCCAATCACATCATAATTCCCTGACTTTGCCAGGACCTCCAGTTCTCCCTGCTTGTTTCCCAGGCTTTTCTTTTTCTTATTACTGAAGGAGAATCTTGCTTGAAGGCATTATTCCAATCCAGGAGAACTTTAAAAGCTTTTGGTGCACTTGACGTGTGTGTATATATATATATATATATATATATATATATATATTCCAATTCTATCTGCCATCCAGATTGGCATAATAAACCAGTCCTGATATTATTTTTATGAAGCTTTGGCACTTTGAAGATGTTCCATGGCACTTCAAGGCTGTATTGAGGGATAACTTGAGAAGTCATTCCATGCAGCACTTTAGAATTCCTTATTGTCACCACTTGGAAGTTCAAAGAGATGCTGATACTCTAAGTTTATTTCAAATTGGATGCTCTGAGGAGCTACATAAGCTGGACAAAAATATATTCAAGATTACCAGTGAACACATGTTTTAAAGCTGTCCCTACAGATGTTTTGAAATAATGGCAATGGCCACTTTAGCAACCCATAATGCACTCCGTGCCCTATAAATCTAATGGAGATGAAAATCTAGGTGCAATACTCTACAAATACTGGTGCTCATGCACCAGTATGTGTGGGTGCCACAACCATGGCAATGATGATTGCTAGCCCCAGCGTGCCAGACAGACGGGGTTTTGACAATAAGTTGTGCTGATTCATTGTAGAGGCTTAGCACCACAGTTGCAACAGCACTGGTCCAGTGCCAATGATCAGAGGAATCAATATATCAAATAGGCTCAACATTAATTGTCACTGGAACTGAAGTCAGGAGGACCTTCACGTGGCAGGGGATGGTGCTAGTGTTATCGATATTCTCAGCACTATTGCACTGAGAAGGCACCATGCCAGCAGAGTCCAGGTCCAGAACAACTTGTCACTGACAGCCATTAATGACCTCCTGAGCAAGTGTCAGGATCCTGACAAGGCCAGTCAGCACCAAAGGTCAGAGGAGGGTCAAACCTGAGTCTGACAGTTGCAGAGGGGTTGACAGTCAAGTTCCATATGCCAGGGTCAATGCCAAGGATCAGAGTCTGAGGCAGATTTCAGAGTCTGGATCAAGAAGGCAAGGTCCAAATCAAGCCAAGTTTGAAGCCAGGAGTTTAAGAATGGTCATGGCCGATATAGGAAATCCACGCTGTTGCCTGGACACTTCCTGGAATGTCCCTTTGGTTTACATAGGGTGGGGATCCAATCAGGAGCCATGAGGCAGGATAATTATGGCTTCTCCTCCTTTTGTGCCCTTATAACCTTGTTCAGGAAAAGGGAGAATAAACAGCCAGAATAGACACTCTTTTTAAGAAGATTCCAAGTTTGCATGCCCAGGTTCATTGATTTCAAGTGCAGGAACCATGGGAACAAGTTACCATTTTTCCCTACAGCTCCCATCTACATTGCTCCGGTACTAGTACCACACACTAGGGCACGTTAAATTGATGTGCTGGGAACAATGAGACTGTATGTAGGAACTCATGCTGTATAATAAGGTTCAGTGCTGACAGGCACAGCCTCATAACACACATCAGGACTCACTGGCAGCTAATGCTCAAACCACGCCAAATGGGATGTATTAGCAGGAGTGCTGTAAGCAAGACACAAGAAGTAATTTTTTTGGCTCTACTCCAAGCTGATTAGATCTCAGCTGGAGTATTGTGACCAGTTCTGGGCATCACACCTTGGGAAACATATGGACAAATTGGAGAAAGTCTAGAGGAGAGCAACAAAAATGAATAAAGGTTTAGACTGGAGAAGAGTCAACTGATGGGGGACAGGATAACAGCCTTTAAGCACATAAATGGTTATATAAATTGTTCTCCTAACCACTGACAGCAGAACAAGAATGGACTTAAATTGTAGCAAGGGAGATTTAGGTTAGACATTGGGAAAAACTTCCTAACTGTAAGGGAAGTTAAGCACTGGAACAAATTACCTAGTGATGTTGTGGAATCTCTAGCATTTGGAGGTCTATAAGAACAGGTTAGACAAATATCTGTCAAGGATGATCTAGTTAATACATAGCCCTGCTTCCCTGCAAGGAACTGGACTAGATGACCTATCAAGATGCATTGCATGCCTACCTTTCTATGATATACTGTAACAGTCTCAACTAGCCATGGCAGACAGTATAGCCAGAGCAGGTCACCTCTGCCTGCCAGGCCAACTAAGGTGCCCAGCAACAGAGAACTTCTTGATCTAGAACCCAGTTTATCATGAAAACCCATCTCAATGTATTGCTTATATCCTGCCTCTTGGCATTAAAAATCTAAGATGAAACTTATTCAGAAAAGGTAATGTTGCAGTCAAGGCACTTCACCCACTTTAGAATTGGGGGGGGGGAGGGACTTTTCTTCTTGGTATACCTCAAGGCCAAGATAGTAGATATCCTGATTATTTCCTGAGTTTGTTTAGATAAAAGAGTCTATTTCACTGAAGCTGCAATTTGTACAATTTGCTGCATATATAGTTAGAGTCTATCATTTCTGGTTAGCTCATATTCAGATATGGTGGAAGTCCTCAAGGCAATTACCAAAATGAGGCCAATGCTCAGATGATCTAGTCCTCTTTTGCATCTGAATTTGGGTCTGAATTCTCTTAATATTTTTACTATTCTATTAGTCTTTGATAACTGTTTCAATATGGATTCTGTTCCATTTTATAATCCTAATTTATTCCTTCAAGGCTCATTCTTAGTGATTATTTATTTGTCCATAAGAATATGGGAATTTCAGACTCTCTGTTGAGCAAATCTTATACGAGATGTCCCCAGGAGAGTATGCAGAGAAATGCTTTGTTCTCCATGAGATCTTCCCCAAAAGAAAAGGAGCATGAGAGTTAACCATTTCTACTTAACTAGAGTAACTGATTGGTGAAGTTTATTTAGAAATACAAAAGAAGATCCAATTTTAGATCTTCCACATTTTCCACATTTCTTCCACATTTCTTCAAAGCCTATTCAACCAGATTATAGGAGCATCATAGAGAGAGCAGAAGCACCTGTGTCAGATCTAGATTGACCTGGTTTTAAATGCATGTCTTTGCCAGACACTACAGATGGGAATTGGAGGCTTTTGCTGAGACAGCCTCTGCAAAACATCAAACACGATGTAGCTGAGGCCTGGCCCAACATGAGTAATTAATATGTGAAGGGAGGTTGCATTTGATTGAAAGATAGAATTAAGGAAAGTCTATTTTTAAAAAGTTAATCTTTATGAAGGTTCCCTGTTGAGTTACTCTGGCTTATTACAAGTTATATAAATATTACAAGTTAGATAAAAGATAGTTATGTTTTATGATTCCGGTGGTACATTAACTCCACTCAAAGTGTCAATGGAGGATACTGAGAGAATAAGGTAGAGGGGTGTCTCATCTCAGAAGGTCAAGTGCTCTGATTCCATCTGCTGGCAGGGAAGAGCTAGACCCAAATTGTGTAGAATAACTAAAGGAAAGTTAGCTGGTATTTTATTTCTCCATCTGGTAAGGTAGCTCTGCTAATGCTAATGTACATGAAACAAAGCTTCAGAAACAACCATCATCTTGGATTTGCTCCTCAGAAAGAGCAAGTCATATTTTTAAAACTTCAAAAATTTCATTTTTTGCTGGAAAAATCTGTTGGAATGTGAACATTCAAAAAGGCAGGAAAAACAGCTGCAGGGCAATTTTGACTTCATTCTTTCTCACATGCATAGCGTAATATTTTCATGAGTATGCATGCACTCCAAGATAATCCTCCTCTTCCCCCCCCCCCCCCCGCAATGAAACATGCTTTGTACAAAAATGGCAAAATTCTACTGTTTCGGAAAAGAACATGAATTTCATCCATTTGATTTGGTTTCTTGCAGCAAAATGGTGATTTTTCCACTGAAAAAACCTGACCATTATGTTTTAAAATTGCAAGGAAAGAAAATTTTTATTTGACTTTTCAGTTTTTGCCATTTCTGGATTTTTTTTATTAAACTCTGGCAGAGACTCCCTTCTAAGGAGCAAATTCTAGATGTTGTCCTTTTCTCTGGCAAGAATCTATTTGAACCTCTCAGAAAATAATCTTATGCAGTTTCCAGAACTGCACTGAGGATTTCGTCTTTTTAAGGAGTCTGTCTTTTGAGATGCACATGTATATGCATATTTATCTTTCTGTATCTCTCTCTATATAGAGATACATTTGTTTACTTGTATAGACTGTTATGAAATTATGTGACAATATACGCATATGCAAAGTATGAATCAGTAAAGCTTTGATTACTCTGTTTCTAGGGTATCGTCACTGTAATCCTGGAGAATTCAGTTGTGCTGATGGAAGGTGTCTCTCAAATTCTCAGTGGCAATGTGATGGGGACTTTGACTGCTCAGATCATTCTGATGAAGCTCCTATAAACATAAAGTGCAAAAGTTCAGGTTCATTTTTTTAAATCACATATATGTATTTTTTCCCAACAAACTTAATTTAGAATTGTAGATAGAAAGACTATAATACTAATAACTGTACAGTCCTGTCTTTTTAATGCTTCATTCATCCTGTGAGGAGGATGGAGTTGTAATTTGTCATTCCTGTAGTTTATCAGTCTCAGCTGATAAAATTAAGCTAGCCACACCAGATGGCTCAGGGGAGCTTGTAGTTTGTTTACACATGTGTTTCCAGCTAGTATAGACTAGACAACATTACAATAGTTACTATCCAAGTTTATAGGACCTGACCTGCTCGCTCCATAATTTTGCAAGCAGGGAGAGCAGACATAACAGTACATTCCAATAACACAGGATTAGCTCTGACCAAACCAGAATGGAGATATGTTGGATTTCTCAGCTTCACGCCATTTTAAAGTTCTCTCCACTTTTATTAGTCACAAAATGTAAATGTGTTCCACTCCTTTTATCAATGCCACTGAAGCTTAATTGTTTCTATTGTGCAAATTTATCCTCTTCTGGAGGTAGTGGACTATTCCATGTCGTTTTGCAAGGGGAGAGCTATATGTGAACAGTTCTGCCACTCACACCTTATCACTCCATTAAGGCATTAATGTAGCCCATTATACAAGCTTTCATGAGGATCATGCATTGTCTGCAAGACAATACCATAGTATGTGGATCCAAAGATTCACTATTTAAGATTCTGTTGCTAAATTAGGATTGCTAAGCACAGGTGCAGAAATTTGTTCTGTGAGGGTGTGAATGTGCACATTTATTTAAAACTAGGAGCTGATCATAACGGTGTAATCCTGTTTCTGTTAAAGTCAATGGTAAAATTCCCATTTTCTTTATCAGGATCAAGATTGGGCCTGGAATGTTGAACCATGTTGAATATTGATATTTAAGCAATAAATATTAATTACCATTTGTTTCCACTACCATGTACAATAGTAATTTTAATATTTAATCACATATTGCTGCAGAGATTTCAAATCCTAAGGCGTTTCTCAAGTTATACTAGCTGCTGTTACTGGTCACCATGCTGGCTCAGCCTAAGTACTTAATACAAGATAAAGGGTACGTCTACACAGCAGAAACCCCCCTGTGGTTCCAGATCACAGAGCTCAGGTCAACTGATTTGCGTATTGCAGGGCTAAAAATAGCAGTGTAGACGTTTGGGCTCGCACTGGAGCCTGGGTTCTGAAACCCAGTTCAGGGGGGAAGGTCACAGAAAATGCCTACACTGCTATTTTTGTCCCAGCAGCACAAACTCCACATGCCTAAAGTCAGTTGACCCAGGATCTGATACTCACTGCTGTGGGGTTTTTTGTTTTGTTTTTTTGCTGTGTAGACATACCCATGGGAAACATGGGTGTCATGCAGCATGCATGATGGAGGCCCTGAGAAAGTTCCAGATAATCTATAAACCACTTAAGTGTGGTATGTAACCTATCGCTTAAAGCAGCCTCTGTATTAGGTGACTGAGGGATAGCTAATGTAACACACATTTTTTAAAAGAGCTCCAGTGGTGATCCTGGCAATTACAGGAAGATAAGCTTAACTTCAGTACAAGCTGATAAACTTAACTATAGTAAAGGACAAAATTATCAGACACAATATCTTGAGGAAGAGTCAGTACGGCTTTTGTAAAGGGAAGTCATGCCTCACCAACCTATTAGAATTCTGTGAGGGAGTCAACAAGCATGTGGATAAGGGTGATCCAGTCGATATAGTGTACTTGGACTTTCAGAAAGCCTTTGACAAGGTCCCTCAACAAGGGCTCTTAAGCAAAGTAAGGACTCATGGGATAAGAGGGAAAATCCTCTCATGGATCAGTAACTGGTTAAAAGATAGGAAACAAAGGGTAAGAATAAATGGTAAGTTTTCACAATGGAAAGAGGTAAATATCAGGGTCCCATACAGATCTGTACTGGGACCTGTGCTGTTCAACATATTCATAAATGATCTGGAAAGGGGGTGAACAGTGAGGATGCAAAATTTGCAGACGATAAAAAAATTACTCAAGTTAGTTAAGTCCAAAGCTGACTGCAAAGAGTAACAAAGAGATCTCACTAAACTAGGTGACTGGATGATAAAATACAGATACATTCTATGTTGATAAGTGCAAAGTAGTGCACATTAGAAAAAAATAATCCCAATTATACATTTAAAATGATGAGGTCTAAATTACTTATTACACCGAAGAAAGATCTTGCAGTAATCATGGATAGTTCTCTGAAAACATCTGTTCAGTGTGCAGCAACAGTTCAAAATGTTAGGAACTGTTAGGAAAGAGAGAGAAAATATCATAATGCCACTATATAAAGCTCTGGTATGCCCACACCTTGAATACTGCATGCAGTTTTGGTCATCCCATCTCAAAAAGATATATTAGAATTGGAAAAAGTACAGAGAAGGGCAAACAAAAATGAACAGGTGTAAGGAACAGCTTCTATGTGAGGAGAGATTAAAAGGACTGAGACTGCTCAGCTTAGAGGAGAGATGACTAAGGGGGATAATATAGAGGTGTATAAAATCATGAATGGTATGGAGAAAGTGAATAAGGCAGTGTAATTCTCCCCGTCACATAACACAAGAACTAGGGGTCACCCAGTGAAATTAATAGGCTGCAGGTTTAAAACAAACATAAGGAGGTACTTCTTCACACAATGCACAGTCAACCCATTGTGAGAGGCTAAAAGTATAATTGGGTTAAAAAAAGAGTCAGATAAATTCATGGAATATAGCCATGATGGTCAGGGATGCAACCCGATGCTTTGGGTATCTCTAAACCTCTGACTGCCAGAATCTGGAACTGGATGACAAGGGATGGATCACTCAGTAATTGCCCTGTTCTGCTCATTCCCTCTGATGCATCTGGCACTGGCCACTGTTGGAAGACAGGGTGCCAAGCTAGATGGACTATTGATCTGACCCAATATTGCCATTTTTATGTTTTTTAGTTGAACATGTATTACTTTTTAGAGGCATATGACTTGGATGCTAGTGAAAAATCTTATTAGTGCTCCCTATATGTCAGTGCCTCCTCAATTTTGTGTACCTTGCATCATAGTTATTTTTCATATTTTCATAGCTTTTATGGTACACAGTTAAGTTATCACATGTCTGTATGCTCCTGAACCATCTAGGTTTCCTCTTAAATTTTCAAAATTAGGCTTTAGATAGCCAGGTTTTTTTTTGGGGGGGGGGGGGGGGGGGAGGATCCTATTAGAGGATTTTACTATGACATAGTTCTCCATTGCTACCAAAAATAATCTCCAATGTTAGATAGCTCTACAAATGTATTATGATTTTTTCCAGTGTTTTTCCAAAAAGACTATATGAGGTGAGTGATATTTTTAATATACACAGGGCAGTTAATTTGCTGTACTATAGCTTTTTTCCCCCTTGTGCATAGTTTCCAATATATAGTTTATGGATTTTTCACTGGTGGTCTGCAGAGAGGTGATGCTGATCACATGATGCTTGTTCTTATTATTTCCAGTTAAGCAAAACCAAACTGATGAAAGGGGAAGATGAAATGAAGAATAGACAATATGATTCACTTTTTTCAGAAAGGAGTAAACACTTATCTTAATATAGATATCTAAAACTAAAATAAAATTTACACATGTAACTTTTTCATATAAGCAACTACTGTTGTCATGCAAGCACTCTTATGAGATCAGTCACAAACACAAGAAAATCTGGTCCCCACAGTTTGGAGTTGGTCTATGAAAAAGTCTATCAGAGCTGGGTCACACTATGGGAAAAGTATGAGAACCGCTGACATGTTGTTCATTTGTTTTATTTTATTTTATTTTATTTTTTCCAGAACAGTCGTGCAACAGTTCTTTTTTCATTTGCAAAAATGGCAAATGCATTCCTCAAATAGAGGTCTGTGACAATAAAGAGGACTGTGGTGATGGATCTGATGAGAGAAACTGCCATATCAATGAATGCTTGAGTAAGAAAGTCAGTGGCTGTTCTCAAGATTGTCAGGATCTTCCTGTTGGGTACAAGGTTGGTAGTCATGGTGTGTAATATAGTATAATATAAGTTTTTAATCCTTAAGTATGATTGTTTAAACCACATAACTATGTAGTAGAACTTCAGAATGTGGTACTAGCTTTTAAACAAGTAAGCTCCTCAAAATCACAAACCTATGCAAATCAATATATGAGGTATGCAAATGACCATCATTTGTGTAAAAAGCAGGAGCTTAAATTCAACTTATAAACAATGGAAAAAGGTACATGAAGTAATTTCAACATTTATTTCTATATACTTGTAAAATCTAATACTTGAATATTTTACTTAAAAGGTGATGAAGATGAACCTACAATAACAAAAGTCCAAAAGATACAGCAATTACAAAAACCCAAACAAATCATGCTGATGTACAAAAAACACAAATGATCTGAGAATTGCTTATAAGACCATGCCTCCAATAGTAAATAATACAAATAGTAAACTTTTCCCAAGTTGATTGAAATAGTGACTCCATTAACAAAGAAAAATTGAACAACGCACTGTTAATGGACAAAATTTCAAAATGTGCCCTCCATTTGTGTGCACGCAACTTTGCTCATTAATAGCATGAACAAGATGCTGGTGCATTTGATAAACTTAATTATATATCTTTAGACTTCCATGTCTAGGACCCATTGGTTGAATGTTATTTTGGCCCAAATTCCAAGAAATTCTTCATTCTTCCCCAATGGTGGGACTCCACCTGGACCTTTGTACCTTCAGAATGATTGTTTAACATTTGAATGGATTCCCAAGTTTGTTTCCTCTTGTTTTATAATGACAAGTCTGCCTTATTGAATTAGTTTCATTCCCTTTTCCGTGGATGGTAGGTTCTTCTCTACTTGAATCAGCTCCTGTTGAACTGCGAACTTGGGGCCACTCATAAGGTAGACCTTGGTTCTCTGAATCAGCTAAGGAATTTTAGAGCGTCTCCAACTCCTTATGGAAAAGAAAATCCTCCGTTGAATGGTCAGGCTGTTTTTCTGTGGTTGGAGGAGGGTTCTTCTGTCTATTGTTTTAGTCACAGGAATCATTTTCCTGCCACTGTGGCAGACATGCTACAGAAGTCAAGCAGATTATGTCATATGTGATTTCACGCATAAACAAGAGAATGGAGTTCAAAACTGAAAGACTCTTGGCCACCTGAAAATTCTAATCTTTAACCTTTGGGGATCTGCTAAATTCAGATAGCCGCCTCTCCACCACTTGGGAAGTGCTTGCCATGTGAAATGAAGTTTATAGTCATAAGCCTGAGGCATCAACAGATATCTTCTGGCAGGGAAATCTCATGTCACAGGATAAGATGGCCCCTTTAAGGGAGATAGAACTAGTTTTACCTGTGCCAGATTTACCTCTGAAATCATGGGATTGAGAATTTGGGGAGAACATGACTGTGAAGGGTCATGTGATTAAAGGAAAGCAAATAGCACCTATCCATAGAGACAGTCTGCACTCAGTAGGGAGAGACTAAGGGTGCAGAAGACCTGCGGCTAACCTCTTCAAAGGGGATCTGGGAAAGGCCTGGGGAAGAGCAAGAGTTTAACCTGAAGAGTCCTGGGGAAGGCCTAGGAAGAAGCAGTGTACGACTGTCTGAGAAGGTGCTATTGTGAGGGCCTAAAAGGCAAACCAGTCAATTGCAGGAAGTAGCCCTGGAGTCTGAAGCAGAGCTTGATGTCTGAAGTAGAGAGCTACTTCACTCATTAGAGTCAAGGAGTTGGAGTCCAAGGCTTCCCGACATCCTTGCATTGCTACATAGAGTGATGGTGCAGAAACCACTGCACTGAGTAGAAACGGAAACATTTGCTGCTGATAAACTGTTGAACCTGGGGATGGGTTGAAGGAAATTGTGTCCCAGTAAAGGCCAAGTGAGGTTAAAGGATTCTTTGTTAGGACAGTTGTTTTACCTTAAAATGTTTGAGACATTTTCTTTTTGTTAGAGAGCTAAAGAAAAAAATCACAAGGGGAGAGATGGCAACCCCCAGTTAGAAGAGGAGGGAAAGGGAGGCAGTGGCATCTCCATGCCAGGAAGAAGTGTGGCCCCTATTGAATCCCACTTAATGTGTTTTAGCCCATGAAAGCTTATGCCCACATAAATTTGTTAGCCTATAAGGTGCCACAAGTACTCCTCATTGTTTTTGCTGATACAGACTAACATGGCTACCTTTCTTGTATTGTGACTATTCTGGTGCATGGTGGGAACTCATAGTGCATTTTGTATTTTGCTTCAGGAAGGGTATATCCCCAATTGGTGTTCCATTTGTCATTTCTTATTGAAAATAACTCAAAAGATAAGAGAAGCTTGACTTAAACCATTATTCCTGGAGAACTTGAAGAGAGCTGCCTCAGATCCTGAGTAAAAGACGCAACCAGGCCTGAACAGGCTTCATCCCTAAGTGTTTCTGTGACTCAAGTCTGAATTCCTGCTCTTTCTGATGAAAGAAAGGCAAATCAACTAAGTCCTCCTCCATTCAGTCAGCTAAAATGGTACGAAGAAACACCGTTCCTTTAAAGAGCATAAATCCAGGTCAACTTCCTCACATTCTAGTAAAAAGGGGCATAGATCACCTGAAGGTGCTCAATAAATAGCAGTTCACAGTCTAAATCACGTAACTCTGATAGTCTGACAGAGCCTGGTCACCTAGCAATAGTACTGTCTTGAACTGTGCTCTCTACCTCCTTTGTTCCTGACCCCTCAGTACTGACATCATACACCCAGTACCCATAATCCCAGTACACTTGCTCTCAGCACCAACTTTGTCAACACTGAACTTTGTAAGGTGACTGCACAGCCTGAGTATCTACCATTGTACCACAAAGTGCTGTCTATAGTACTGAATGCTACCACCATTACTGTACCAAGCACCTCTTCAGCATCAAGTCTGGGTGACACTGTAGTTCGCCTGAGACCCTGGCCTCTAGAGGAGAAGTATTCCATTTCTTTCTTCCCTTTGGAGCACAGCAGGGAGGCATCCTCTACTCACTCACTTCAATCCCATTCATAAGACCTCCCCTGGTTGGGCAGAGTTTAGGACCAAATACTACAGGCGTGGGCACAGGGGATCTAAGGAAAAGCACTCATCATTGGTACATCCCCCACAATGCCCACAGTCCCTTACTCCTATAACGTTAAATCATGGCCCTACTGAGCTTCTTGGGGCATGCAGCCAGCAAGAAAACCAACCTTTACCTAGACCTTCCTCCTCTGCAAAATCCCGTAGGGTTATTCAAGAGGCAGAGGTGGCACTCACTCACTCTGTTCAGCAAGAAAAGCAGGAAAGTGAAGACCAACACCTGCAAGCTGAGGAACAGATAATTTCAGCAGCTATCTCCTCCTCCTCCCCAGATGAGACAGTGTCAAGGTTCCTCCCCCACTCTGAACTCTAGGGTACAGATGTGGGCACCTGCATGAAAACCTCCTAAGCTTACTTTCACCAGCTTAGGTTAAAACTTCCCCAAGGTACAAATTAATTTTATCCTTTGTCCCTGGATCTCCACTGCCACCACCAAACTCTAACTGGGTTTAGTGGGAAACGTAGTTTGGACATGTCTTTCCCCCCAAAATCCTCCCAACCCTTGCACCCCACTTCCTGGGAAAGGTTTGGTAAAAATCCTCACCAATTTGCATAGGTGACCACAGACCCAAACCCTTGGATCTGAGAACAATGAAAAAGCATTCAGTTTTCTTACAAGAAGACTTTTAATAGAAGTAAAGAAATCCCCTCTGTAAAATCAAGATGGTAGATACCTTACAGGGTAATTAGATTCAAAACATAGAGAATCCCTCTAGGCAAAACCTTAAGTTACAAAAAAGACACACAGACAGGAATAGAGTAACAGCCGTGTTAGTCTGTATTCTCAAAAAGAAAAGGCATAAGCTTTTGTGAGCTACAGCTCACTTCATCGGATGCATACTGTGGAAAACAGTATGCAGCCGATGAAGTGAGCTGTAGCTCACGAAAGCTTATGCTCAAATAACTTGGTTAGTCTCTAAGGTGCCACAAGTACTCCTTTTCTTTTTACAGACAGGAATAGTCATTCTATTCTGCACAGTTCCTTTCTCAGCCATTTAAAGAAATCATAATCTAACACATACCTAGCTAGATTACTTACTAAAAGTTCTAAGACTCCATTCCTGTTCTATCCCCAGCAAAAGCAGCATACAGACAGACACAGACCCTTTGTTTCTCTTCCTCCTCCCAGCTTTTGAAAGTATCTTGTCTCCTCATTGGTCATTTTGGTCAGGTGCCAGCGAGGTTACCTTTAGCTTCTTAACCCTTTACAGGTGAGAGGATTTTTCCTCTGGCCAGGAGGGATTTTAAAGGGGTTTACCCTTCCCTTTATATTTATGACAGGCAGTAGTGCCCACTACTTCTAATCAGCCAGATGTTTACAAGATATTGCAAGAACTTCTGTGCCAACTGGCAAATACCCTGGAAATCTCTGTAGAAATAGTAGTGCCAGGAGAGTTGCCCAGGCTGGTTGACATTGTATACACACCAGTGTCTGGAAGATTGTCCATTCCAATTACAGAGGGGCTACAAATGCCAGCAAAACACCTTTGGCAGACCCCTCTATCTGTGGCAGAGTGACACTATCATCCACCTTTAGCTGGCTTTGAGTATTCCGACACTCACCAACTCCCAGGATCCGTGGTAGTAGCTGGTATTCATTAGGAATCCAAACAACAAGAGCCACTGAAAACAACTCTAAAAGACAAGTATCCAAAATATTAGATTTATTCAGCAGGAAGAACTACACTTCTGCATTCCCAGATGTGCATTGCTAATTAGTGGGCCCTCTTAGCAAAATGTGAATACCTAAATTGGGACAAGATATCATACTTTTGTTTTAAAAAAAACTACACTCAAAACAACAGGGAAGAATTGAAATCTGTTATTATCGGGGATTAGGGTGACCAGATGTCCCTATTTTATAGGGACAGTCCCGATATTTGGGGCTTTGTCTTATGTAGGTCCTATTACTCCCCACCCCCATCCTGATTTTTCACACTTGCTATCTGGTAACCTTATTGGGGGTCAGCTAGTGGCCTGCACTTCTATTCAGGTGGCATTAGATGCATGAGACATGGCAGTACAATCAGTGGACACATTCATGGGCTTCATGTTTGCAGTCTGCAGAAATACCAAAGAAGGTACAGATGGTGATTGAGGACCTCACGTTTGAAGGCTGTGACCTATTCAACAAGAAGATTAATGAAGCCTTGCACGCATTAAAGAATTTGCAAGCTACTTTTTACCTCTTGGGCATATATATGCCAACACCTAGGAGAAAATAGGTCAGACCACAAGGTCCTTCCATGCAAAGACCTTTTTCCTTCCATTATATAGAGATAAGACCCTTGCATCACCCAGAAAAAAAAGAAGATTTCATCAGTGGAGACCCTGTCACTTTCTGTACAACCACTCATTCTGAGTCCAACTCTAGGTAGCAAAGTTGATGCTATAGTTGAGAGCCATTTCTCTTCCCCCCACCCCCTTTGGCAGTTGCCTTTTTTTTATTTTCAGGAGGTCTGGAATCACACCGTCTCTGGAGTTCAGAGGGAAGTATTTTATTTTCATCATTTTCTAATTCAGCAAAAGAAGGTGTGTGTGTTGGGGGAGGGCGGGGAGGCTGGTGCCTAATCCTGGATTAGAGGTGATGCGACACCTTCATCCATGGCTTTAAATTCAGCATGGTATCTCTACCCTCTATAATCCCATCCTTAGCTTCCCAGGACCGGTTCATGGTTCTCAGTTTATAAGATGCTTGTATTTACATACCAATTCACCCAGCAAACAGAAAATACCTGAGATTCCAAGTGAGAATCCTGTCCTTCAGTCTTTCAACAGCACCAAGGACTAGTGTGTTTACCAAATGCTTGGCTGTCATAGTGGCTCACTAAGAAAGTGAGGAATCCAGGTATCCCTCACCTCAACAGTTGAACAACAACTCCTCCCTCACTGGAGGAAGATCACCACAACAGGTGAACAACTCCTTTCACTTGTTCCTGCAACTTTCACCACCCTGGGTTTTGGGATCAATAAGGAAAAAAAATCACTATTACCAACCCAAAGAATAGAATTCATGGGGGCAGCGCTAAGTGTACAAAGCAAGAGTCTGTCTGCCACAGGACACATTCAATATTACAGTAGATCTCATCAACCAGCTGATGCTCACCCTTAATCTTCAGCAAGAGTCTTTCTCAGACTTCTCGGTCATGTGGCCTTCTGCATGTATGTCACGCAGCAAGCCAGACTTCACTTATGCTGCACGCAAGGGTGGTTGAAATTTGTATATTTACCCAACAAACATTAGACATGAGGATTCAGGTCCCTTGAGAAGTACCCTCATTGTGAAATTGGTGGAAACACCCTCTCAAGGTTTGCAAACGTTTCTCCACCTCTTTTCACCAAGATACTGGAGACAGATGCTTGGGTGGGGAGCTCATCTGGACCATCTTCAGACCCAAGGCCTCTAGACTGTAGAAGAGATTGCCCTTTACATAAATAACTAGCCTCCACAGTGTCTCTTCCTGTGTTATGTGGACTAATAGACAAATCCTGACTGACAACACAACAGCAGTGTGTTATGTCAACCTACAGGAAGGATTCTCTTCAGCCAGGTAGAATAGATTCTTTATTTGGGCACACAACACTATCTGTTTCCTTCAGATACCCTGATTCCTGACTACCCTTTTATCTCTAAAGTACTCAGGGCTGCCCATCAACTCTATAAGAGTGCACTTAGTATCAGTAACACCTTACCTTTTCCTCATCCAAGGTCACATCATTTTTTCCCACCCTACAATTGCTAGATTTCTAAAGGGCCTGATTCATGTGTTTCCCACAATCTATGACCTCCTTCCTTTCTGGAATCTAAATATAGTCTTATCTGAGTTAATGGGCCCTGCCTTCAACAATATGATATTTATGACTGGTTTACCTTACACAGTGTTCTTTATGTACAAGGTGATCCTTAGGCCTCAACTGAAGTTTTTACCAAAGATCATTTGACTTTCATTTGAATCAGATGATTCATCTGCCAGTTTTCTTTCCCAAGCCATACTTCAAGCAGGGGGAAGCCAAGCTGCCCACAGTGAATGTAATTAGGGCTCTTTCACTTTACCTGGATAGGACAAAACCATGCAAGAACTTCCCTAGACTATTTGTAGAGTCTACAGAGAGGATTAAAGGTCTGACAATATCAACCCAGAAACTGTCTAAATGGATATCTAATTACATCATATCATGCTGTGAGTGACCTAGATTAGATCCTTCCATGCAGGTTGTAGTCCACATCACTGGCAGCTTCTCCTCCTTCCCTAGGAAGCTGACCAATTTCTGAAATTTGAAGGGTAGTTACATGGGGATTAGTCCATATTTTCACAAAGCCCTATTTCCTATGCAAGACATCAAGATGAGATGCTTGCTTTGACATAGCTGACCCGCAATCACTATTTAAATAGACACAGAGCATGAGCCTCCTGTCTGTGGGGTCACTGCTTGCAAGTCACCAGAAGTGAAATGCATGGGAACAGTCAATCGAAGAAGAAAGAATAGTTACTTACCCTATAGTACCTGTTTCTCTGAGATGTGGCATTCGCATGCATTCCACAGCCCACCCTCCTTCCCTACTGCTATGGAGTCCTGATGTTTTATTGGTGAAGGAATTGAAGGACAGTTGGATGCAGTTCGTCCTTTATCTTTTTGGGCAGTGAGGAAGTGGGGAACACAAAGGGTCCTATGGCACAATCACAGCCCAAATGGACACTGCTGGCCAAAAGAATCCAATCTTGAGCACATCTTTAAAAACCACAGGACTAGGGTAAGTAACCGTACTTTCTTTAGAACTTTACACTCTAGTGTTCTTGTTCATTACAAGTGTTAATTTTGTCATATGGTCATAGTTGAATAGAAAGGGAGGAAGGCCTAACATTTTGTTAAACTGGAAAAAGCAAATTTTGGTAGTTTCACTTCAGTAGGACAGTTCTCCAACAAACATCTCTAATGTGCCATTTGATAAATTCCTGTTACATAGAAAGTTACCTGAAGTTAAAACAGTAGGTCAAAAAAGATTATTTTAAAGTTGTGTCATTGTTGAAAGGTTGGTGGTGCCAGACTACTCTGTCTTCGATTTCTAATTTTTAAGCTATTCTTAGTAAGTTTATGCCAAACAGAAAGACACCAACAATAATAAAAAATGAGTGTTCTTGTTTTTCTTTCCCAGTGCAAATGCTGGCCTGGATTCCGGCTCAAGGATGATGGCAAAATATGTGTAGACATTGATGAATGTTCATCTGGATTTCCCTGTAGCCAGCAATGCATCAATACATATGGAACTTACAAATGCTTGTGTGCAGATGGGTATGAAACACAACCTGATAACCTCAATGGCTGTAAATCTCTTTCAGGTATCACATTTTATTTATACACAAATATAACCAAAATTGTTTGTGAAAAGCTTTAACTTGGAAATCTGTGTTTCAGCTTCTGTAATGACTAGAAAGATGGTTTAAAGCATCCTTTTCAGTCAGAAACAGAAATCTGAATTCAGTGCAAGGTGTCTGAATGTGAGAATAATTTCTACTTTTATTGTGTATTCCACACACAGGATTCTATGTGGATAATTACAGTTCATTATGATACTGTGAATTATTAAGTGTGCACTAGGCACTGGGAAATTTCAGAAGCGGAAAAAAACCACATCACCTTATATTGCCTGCTGCTCAGTCACATGGTAATCATAAAACATGTAGTGTGCAATATTAAAAAGCCTGCTGCTGCTGCATTATTTTATTTTATTTATTTATTTTAATTTTTAGAATAGCTTGCTGACATTAATGCATTAAGCCTGCGTAATAAGTTAAGCATGGAAAAAAAGAGGATAAAAGAAAATTATATGGTGTTTCTGATCTTTGCATAAAAAATGCCCAATTCACTGTTCTTATTGTACTATCACATTATCTCCTGCCGTAGTGCAAAATGGACTGTTTGAAATGGTATGCACAGTAAATATAAGGACTTAGCTTACTTATCTATCTTTGTATCCTATACGTGTTCCTTCCTGTCTTATTTCAACCATCAGGATTGCACAGTGTCAGTTTCCTGAGGAGCAGGAGGTCAAGGAGGAATTAGGAGTAGGAGACTCTACCAGTTACAAGCCATCTCCCATGCACAAACAAAGCACACTCCATTCCTCCTCTGCTGGGCTCCTCCTCTGGAAATTCTCTTAACTCCCTAGCAGGCAGATATGCTCCTGTTCTTGACCTGCCTGCACTCCCTGCAGGCCTGTTTTTTTTTCCAACAGTAGGCCACTTTCTGTCTCAGTGAGACCTTTGTATCTCTGAGACCCTTGTTCCTGCTGCTTCCATGAATAATGGGAGAGGAAGCTGAAGAGGCAGAGCAGAGAGATGGGATCTGATTTTCTTGTCTTCTATCCCTTACCTTATAGGGCACTTGCACATTTACAGGACACAGAGCAGTCAGATGAGAGGAAGGAGTGGAGCCTAAAATAGGAGACAGGATCTGAGATACATTCTGGAGCTGAAATATGTAAAGATTTCAAAGTGTTAATGAAAAAGTTCTCAAACTTAAATTGGCAGTTGTTCATGTTGGAGCAAGGCTGGCTGTGGTAAGAGTCATTCCCAGCCTGTGAGAGGCTTTTCCAGCTGCTTTTGAGTCCACCCAGAAATCCTAACCTGGCCTCTTTAGCCCCCCATAACAGCCTGTCTCCACAACACACTAAATTAGCCTGTCCTGAAGGTGACATCTCAGACCATCAAAGAACTGGAGAATGTCCTATGTTAAGTTTGAAATGTATGCAGAATGTATGAAGTATTAGCTAAAATAGTTGAAATGGGTGTCCACTGTACAGCACATCATTTTAGCACAGTGTATACAGAGTTAATATAAAGTGTTAAATTATATTTGTCATTCTTCTAATTATTCTTTATTTATCCTCCAGTTTATCTTCAAACACTTTCATTGATAATATAGCAGTAATAAAGACAGAAAGTGAGATTTTACTGCAGTGCATGATAAAACAGTGGATAACCAGGAGAAAATGAAGAAACCTGGGGAAACTATGAGAAAACAAAACTGATTGACGTCTAATAGTAATTAATTTAGTTTTGTCGGAGACATGGGATTTTTTTTAGATTTACTCACCCTATGAAAATGTCTGTAAATTTCAAATGATATGCCACTATCAAATTGCCTTTTGTTTGCAGCAGCAGCATATGATATACTCTATAGTGATAAAACAGCATTAGAAGTATTTACTGAACCTTAAAAAATATATATTATCAGTTTAACAGTTAATGGTATTAGTCTTACCTAGAGTATAAAAACTATTCACAGAATTTGAAAATTGCTTGTGCTCCTTCGAGTAATTGTGCACATATACATTCCCACTGTAGATGTTTGTGTGCCCAGTGAACAGCAGTTTCACTGGGAGGCAAATGTGCCGTCTCTCTCTTCATGCTCTCAAGAGAAGGCATAAAATGAGTATGTCTGTCGGCTCCCTGTTAGTTCCTTATATCTATCCAAAGCAAGAGTTGGAACTCCTGGTGGCTTTAGCTTTGTCAGCCAGCTTTTGAAAACTTACCTGTATACAGTTTTTGTAGTAAGTATAGTACAGTGTAGTTATTTTAGCTATACATTTATTACACCTGGAGGATTTATTATGAAAAGATTCTCTGGTTTTAAACAATGTGCCATGTGCAGGGCTGTTATCCCTGTCATGGATAAGCACAAAAGTTGTTTGATTTGTTTGGGTGAGGGAAATGAGAGGGACAAATGTCTCATTTATACCACTTTTCCCATCCACACTAAGAATTAGAGAGACTGTTGCCTTAAGGATCACCTCATGAAGGAGGTGACATAACCTGCATCTGAGCTGAGTCCTGATCATGACCCCAGTGACTCTGGGTCAAGTCAGAGTGTTCCTCCAGATTCTTCTGACTCCAGACATAAATCTGGGAGTGAATGTCATGCTTCCTCTTCTTTATCTAGGTTGAAGAGATCTAAACATTCAGACTCTGACAAGACCTCTAAGTCTCGGTCTTCTCCCAAACAGTCATCGGGTAAGTCCTCTGGTACCAGTTTGAAACCTCACAAATCGATGTGCTCAGTTGTTCCATGTGGGCCATTGAGGCCAGTATCTTCACCTGTTCCAGGGCCTTCCCATTGGTCTCTGGACCCTCCACCATTGTTGGCACTGTCAGAACTAATACATTCAACTGGGGTGGCTTCTATTCCTCAGGCCTTCCTAGCAGCAAGGAAACTTCTTTGTTTTTCCCTGCCTGACCCTCTCTACTGCAGCTGGCTCTGGTATTTCCTGAACTGATACTGACTACAAAATCCCCTCTGCCAGTGCACCCAGCACCGATATCTCACTTGGCACCATCGACATGCCTGGCACCAATGGTGCAACCGGCACTGACTATCCATTCAGCTCCGTTGATGCAGTTAGCACTGACTGTGTTTATTCCAGCACTGCTGGTGCTGACCACTTCATCAGCTTTTCGGCCACTCCAACCTGTATCTTTTACTGACCCTGGTATGTATCCCACATATCAGCCACAACACCACCTATGGAAACAACTACCCACTACCATGAAGAGGCTTATGTATCTTCGATGGGATCGGAAGGGGAAGTACCTGTCTGTCTTCCAAGACCCTTCAGCTCTTTCTTTAGATCTTCCATTATCAGGTCTAAGGATCAAGGTCTGGTTCTCATGCAGGAAAGTTGCAGCTTGGGGTCCCCCATGACTCCATGGCCATATTGGTCTTGGGCTGCACCAAGGGATTTTAGACCTCCGTCTCATTCACTTCCTGGGAGAATGTCTCCCCGACTCTCAGTGTATGAGACATCTTTTCAGTATCCTGCACCTATCCCTCAACCCGCTGTCATGGAATCTGACATGGAGGAGGGTGAATTACTAGAGGAGCCTTTAGTGCCTCTTCTCACATTCCTTCTTCCTCACCAGATGAAGCCGTTACCCTGGAATCAACATCTCTCCCATTCACTCCCACCCCGGAGGATTTTTAAAGTCTTCCAGGATCTCATGGGAAGGATGGTTACTTCTCTGGGAGTGCAGGTAAAGACTGTGCAGAAAAATCTGCACTCTCCTGGATATTTTGCAGACTTCTACTCTAGGAAAATTTGGCCTTCCCATTATTGAGGCCTTGTTATGGCCAGCAAAGACTCTCTGACAGACTTCAGCCTCTATTCCAGGATCCTCAGCAAGGGTTTGAGCATTTCTTTACTCATCCAGTTCCTGATTCTCTGGCAGTAGGACCTGGTAATGAGCAGCCTTGCCAAAACCATCCTAAGTCCAGTCCAAAAGATACGGAGCTTAAAAAGTTAGATTTATACAGCTGTAAAGTCTATTCCACTGCTACACTACAAAAGCCAGTTTCCGATAACCAGGCTCTTTTAACTAAATATAACTTTATTAATTTCCCTGCTATTTCCAAGTTCTCTGATAAACTGTCAGAGGAATTTCGTGACCAGTTTTTAGCATTAGTGTCTAAGGGACATCTTATAGTGCCCTTCCGGCAGCAACAGAGCAGCTGATACTGCCTCATGCTCCATGGCCACCTCAGTCTCTATGCAGCATACTTCCTGGCTGCAGGCTTTGGACATCCCAAAGGAGCATAGACATCACAAGAGAGGACTTACCATCTGAAGGGTCTAAACAATTTTCTACAAAAATAGGTGATACCATGCACCTCTTCATGAGTTTACACTCCAGCTACAGAAGTGAACCAAGTTAGGTCACAGTATTATTGTACACCCTCTTTCCAACAGAGTCCACAATATCCCTCCCAAGAAGAGGTAAAGGCCTCCTAGATGTTGCTAGTCACCTTCAACTGTGGTGGGCCATTCTCACCAGATGCCTATGACCTCAAAGCAATCATTTTGACTTTTTGGTAGTGGACAATGTACCAGTGCTATCTCTTCTTTACCGTGCTTGGGAAAACATCACATCAGAAGGTTTCCCCTGCATATAAACATGTTGGAACTTAGAGCTATTCATCTGGCCTGGTACTATTTATGCCCTCCCTCAGAAAACAGGTGGTGCAAGTTCTCACAGACAAGATCACAGGTATGTTTTACCTGAACATCAGGGAGGTGCAAGATTGTCTCAGCTGTGCTGGGAACCTATCCTCCTTTGGAGTCTGTGTATTCATCACAATGTTTCCCTGAAAGCTTTTCACTTTTCAGGAGTGAGAAGCACACTAACAGATTGCTCAAGAGGATTTTCACAGACCATCTTGAATAGTCAATCAGAAAGACATTCTCCTCCATGTTTTCCACTGCTAGGGTACCCAGTAATAGTCTTGTTTATGACCAACCTCAACAAGTGCTTGGGATTTCTCTCCGAGGCTAGCAGAAGTGCAGGTTCTATCACAGATGCTTTTCTTCTTCCCTGGTCTGGTCACCTCCTATATGTGTTTCCTCTCATTCCAGTGGTGCTCAGGAAGCTGAAACTGGATTAAGCGTCATTTAGCCTCATTGCACCAGCATAGCCAAGACAATATTGGTTCATGGATCTTACATCAGCTGTCCATCCATTCATTGATAACTCTATAACTTGTTATAGAACTTCTGCACAGAACCAGGACAGATCTCTGCATCAGAACCTCAGATCTCTCCACCCTACTGTGTGAATGATCTCTGTCTGAGCACTCATGAGAAATTGTGCTCCCAAGAGGTCTAGGCCTTCTTGATGAGCAACAGAAAAGAATCCACTAGAGCAGGTATGCATCGAAGTGGAAAAGATTTTCTGTTTGGGCACAGTCCCACAGTTTATTTCTCCATCATATTGAGGTTATGCATATGCTGGACTATCTCCTGCACCTGAAATCATCAGGCTTCGAATAGTTCTATGAGAGTTCACCTGGCTTTTATTTCAGCACTATGTCCACCAATAGAGAGGTTTTACATCTTCTCTCCTCTTGTTTCTCAATTTTGAAAGGGCCTAACCAATACTTACCCTCCTGTGTCTGCTCTGGTACCTCTGTGGGATTTAAGTGTAGTTCTCTCTATACTCATGGGTTCCCCTTTAGAGCCTATGCAGACAGCTTCTTTATCTTTGTCATCTGTGTAACTGGTATTTTTGGTAGCAATTACTTACACGAGGAGTGTTTCAGAACTTCAGGCTCTCATGGCTGACCTTCCTTTTACAGTCTCTCTTGAGGACAAGGTATCCCTTAGGCCACATCCTAAATTTGTTCCTAAGGTAGTATCAACCTTCTATGTAAACGAATCGTAACCTTCCGGTGTTTTTGCTGAAATTCCATTCGCATAAGGAGGAGCAAGCATTCCATATGTTGGATGTTAATAGAGTACTGATGGGTTTTTTGGACCTCATTAGACCTTTCAGATCTTCCTCCCCAGAGTCTTTGTAGCCTAGCTGAAAGAACTAAGGGTCAACCAGAGTCATCTCAGCAAATATCACACTAGATTTCTGAATCTATCAAACTCGTTTTGGTAAAGATTATCCAAAATTCCTCCACCCATAAAGGAACTGCTGCTGAGTCACCTATGGTAGAATGTAAATGTGCGCAATCACTCAAAGGAGAAAAAACAGTTTCTTACCTTACAGTAACTTTTCTTCTTCAAGATGTGTTGTTTACATGTACATTCCATGACTCTTGCACCTTCTCTGCTACTTTGGATTGACTTATAGTGGTGCAAAGGAATGGAGAGGGAAAGGGCAACATGCCCCTTTTATTGCCCTCACCTGAGAGCACAAGGAGAACAGGGGTACATGCGCCTCCTAGTAGTATTGCTGGTAAGTCTCCAACTTGAATGCACTGAATGCACACATACCTACAATGGAATGCATATATGCACAATACATCTCGAAGAACAGTTACTGTAAGGTAAGTAACCTTTTTTCTCTTTCCACCTTGCATTGTTGTTTATTACTTGATTGATTTAAAACTCAGGATAAGTAACATAAAATATCATTTATATTCAGTTTGGACTTCAAATTACCATGAGTTTTAATATGGTTCCTGTATTACAAAAGAAATTTTAAATTACATTAAAATATATTAATTTAATACTTTGTTCATTTTTATGTTGCATCATTGATCTTACTTGAAACAATTGAAGGTTTTAACTATTTCTTTCATCCATAACATTGTAGCATTGTAACGTTTTATTTTTCAAACCACCTATATTTCAGCATTATATTCCTGAATATCCATAACATAAATTAAAAAACCCTAATGTAATATATTCTTTCTTCTGTGGTTTAGATGAGGAGCCTTTCTTAATTCTGGCTGACCATCATGAAATAAGAAAAATTAGCACTGATGGATCCAACTACACTTCATTGAAACAGGTATAATCACAGTAACATTCTCTAAGTTTCATTTTAATACTCTTATTACTATTTAAAGTATGTAGTTGAGAGAAAGATAATCCGAGAACTGTTATAGTATGTGTTGCAGAATAATGCAGTGACCTCATGTATATCGTGATGTTTACAGTTTCTTAAAATGACTGTTCTGATTGAGTTTTTGATTTGTATTAATATCCAGGCAATTGTCTGTTGACTCACTCAGAAATCCAAAAATGTGTGTTCTTTCAGCTTTCCAAAGAGATGTCTACTTTTTCGAGTGTTTGCATATGTTGGTTATACTGCAAGTGAATGTGTAAATTTCATGCACTGGTGCTGGAGAGTTTTCCATAGCAATACCCATAGAGGCAGTCACGCTTGCACCTTGGCTTCCCTCGATCTCCAAGCCAAGGGTATACAGGGTGAAACCACCAGCCCCCCCATCCTTCATTGCCTTCTTATTGTTGATGATTGAAGTGTGCTTTTCATTGTTGGTTTATCTGTGAACTATATTTGTATGTAGTTAGCTAGTTCTTAGTTAGGGGTACTTGTTTGGGTACTTTGTATCCTTATTTATTGATTTTTTTAAAAAAAAGTTATTGTTGAATAAGCGGCTGTCTTCAGGCTTCACCAAGTATCAGGGTAAGCATCTGCCAGGGTCCCCTGGCTTTAAGCCTGTTCTGGGTGTCATACAGTGTTGCCTGTTACTGGTCCTCACTCTCTCTGTTTAAAGTGCATGAGTGGTGTCTGAGTTGCCATGGCTTCGAAACTGAAATGAAAAAGAAGAGAGAAAATACATCCTCGTGGAAACTGCTCTTTTCGCTGAGCACGCTCGGCCTTCAGAACCAAAAAAAAAAGGATGTCTTTGACTTCTTTAAAATCTTCTACCACAGAGATAAGCCACCCGATACCAAAGATAGACCATACCCAATGGATCCCCACTCCCTGGTAATTACTCACAGAGGGTCTCAGACATTGACTCTGGTACCCATTCCAGGACCGTCGAGATCACATACTTCGTTGGTGGCAACAGTGGATCCATCACCCCTGCTTATTGCAGGACAGAGGGATCTGCTGCTATGGACAACAGTAGAGACCTACACAACTATGAATGGCCTGTTAGTACTTTTGCCATTCATTCAGAGAGAGGGCTGTCTACTGGTGCTGTCACACATGGTGCAAGCTTCAGCATCGACACTGGTGTCTTCCATGGTGCCCATGAGCTCAGGTCTGGTATCATTTTCCTCAGGTTCTTCATAAACAGCACCTAGACCACTGGTACCCACTCCACCTCCGCACATGGTACTGGTATCTAGGAAGCCTCCCATGCTGCTCTGTTACTACAGTCTTGATGCAAGTCCCAGTCCCAATCTATGCTGACGCCTCCCAGGATTACACCACCACTCTTACTCCTCGTCAAACGCCGAAGTGGTTCCTGTGGTTCCCATTTCAGGGAATCCAGGGCATCCTCTGGAACTCATTCTCACTGAAAGTGAGCAGGAAGTTGAGAGATTGGGGTACCTGGTCCAGACATAGCTGGCCTCCGGTACTGTATCAGCCTCCCCTTTGTCTGTGCTGGCCTTCGGGGTGCCTCCAGCATCAAGATCCCCGCTTCTGCATAGAAATACATCACTAAGAAGGGACTGTTTTCCAGTCTAGTAGAGAGAGACCACTTGTTGTCAGTACCAAACAGCTGCTGGACACTGAATTAAGAGTCCTTTCTCAATGTGCCTTAGACCAACTCTCTACCTCAGTGGTGCAATACCAGCCTCAAGAGAGTCCTGCCTTTTCTCCCTTAAATACCTCATCACCAGATAAGGCTCTGGTCCCAAAAGCTTCTTCCCCAGTAGCAGATGATTTAAGGTTTACCAGGAGCTCCTGAAAAGGAGGCTATATCTCTAGATGTGCAGATGGAGCTGGTGAAGGAGAATCCTTACAATCTCGGACATTTTCACCTGGTTATATCTGGAAAGGTAGCCCTTTGTATAAATGCAGTGATAATGCAATTAACTTTGGCAAACCCCTTTATTCATTATGCCTGTGGGAAACCACACAGAGTAACTATCCAGAGGTTCCAGCTGTTCTATCAATACCCCACATTGAGCTCTTGGTTTTGCCAGTGGTGAATGAAAACACAGCATACACATCAGCTTGTATCTTGCTGGCCCTTTCCTTCCCTTTTGGAGCAAGCATCCCATTTCCTAAGTGCTTGGCAGACTATCACCTCAAATGGTGTGCTAAGCAGAGTGGAATTGGGATATATTCTGAAAGGTCTATCTGTCCCTTTTTGTCCTCACCCACCCCTCCCTTCCCAGTCCCTTTTCAGAGACCCATCTCACAAGTCTGTATTAAAGCAAGAAGAACAGACTCTACATTATTTGGGAACTGTACAAGAATTGTCTCCTCAACACTGGGACAGGGGGATTTACTCTTGGTATTTCCAGATACCAAAAACCACAGGGGGCTCAGGGCCATTCTAAACCTTTGGAACTTTAAAGAAATACATCAAAAGGTTATAGTTCTGTATGGTGTCCCTTGCTGTAATTATAACATCTTAGGATCTGGGCAGTTTGTGTGCCTCAACCTACAAGTGCCTACTTTCATGTTGCAATCTGCCTTGGTGACAGAAGGTTCCTAAGGCTCATGATAGGAGGAGATCACTTCCAGTTCACCATACTACCCTTCAATGTTTTATCCTTGCCAAGATTATTCACCAAGTGCATGATGGTGGTATCAGCCTATTTCTGCCATTGGGACAAGCATGTGTATCTGAATGAATAGTTGGAATGAGACAACTCCCGTCAGCAGGTGGAGAGCAGTTTCCATTGGATTCTCTATCTGTTCATCCACTTAGGCCTGAAAATATATAAACAGAGAAAAAAATCAATCATGTCATCAATACAAAGATTAGAGTTCATTGGAGTGGTCTTGGACTTGACGTCAGCCAGGGCTTATCTGCCACAGCCAGGTTTCCAGTTGTAATAGGACCCTTATTTGTTGTTCAAAGATCAGAACTGCCTTAGGCTCCTGGGAAACATAACTGCTTATACATATATGTTCCCTTATGCCAGACTGCATCTCGACAGTATGCAAGAATGGCTCAAGTCAGTCTACCATCTTCAGCTACACCACTTAGACAAGATAGTATGGATACCAGCCAGGATATAATCATCTCTAAATTGGTGGATGAACCAAGACAACATGGAAGTGCGAAAAGGAACAAATTAGGTTTTCCAATTGGATAAGTGTTAATAGAATAATCCCTTTTTCTTGCGTCCAGGGAGTGTTAGCTTACTATTTTTAATGCAAGCTTCTTTTCAGGTCAACTTTTAACTTGAACAGTATTTTTCAGATAAGGACATTTGCTTATTCTTAGCCAACCAACAATTTATTAATCCACCCAGAACAATGAACACATCATCACTTACATGCAAACACAACCAATGTCCGTGGTATGTACTACATACACATTACAGTCTTGCATTGTATAATCACAGGGTAAAGTTGAGGTTCAGCAGTTATATCAAAGAAAAATGCATATTACCAAGATTTCTTATTTCATTTACTTATGATAATAAATTCTCAATTCCTAACACATTTATCACACTTCCAAGGATGTGCTGGTCTTTAAGGCCCCTTTAAATGTGTGTTTACTCCTCTTTGACTGAACTAGTCCAAAAGACGCAAGTTTAGAATATTAAAAACAATTGTGCAAAGTTATCATTTTCAGTCTCTCCTAGGTCAGTTTGCTTGGACTTATAAAGGAGTTAAAATCTAAAATATGGTTATTTTGAGGTCTCACTAGAGAGTGTAGACTCAGAAAGATAACCTTCAGTTATTTATGATAAAGAATAAAAGGGGAAAAAAATCAAAATGAAATCTCAACACTTCCTATCCTGTTAACTCTGGGATTGGAGAATGTCCTTTCCACAAAGCTGGTCCAGGAATTAGTTGCACTTAGGATGCTGCAGCTTCTTTTGGGGCCAGTCAACTCTCTTGAGCACATGGTGACCTCAGTTTTATGTAACCTAGTTTCAGGCTCATTAGAGGGGTCCATTGTCTGCTTCCTATTGGACACTTGTCAGGTGGGTCATTAGATTTCATTTCTCTTATTTTCACTGTTGCTTCCATTGGTATCCAATGGATGCCTTTTTGGTGTATAACAAATTTAATTTTTATTGGAGACTTTTAAAATTTGATTAATTTCAATGAGTTTATTTAATTATTAACTCCCATTATTAATTGGGATTCCCCTCTTTTAAGCAATTTCTTTTAATATTTCAAAGTTATACCTTAGTTTATATCTTTTAATTTACCTTCCCTTCCTTCTGCCTGAAAATTCCTATTATTTCTAAGATGCAAAAATAATTACAATCCAAACCAACAAAATCCTTATAATCTTCTAAAATGGGAGGACATACTCACAAGGCAAGCAAATGTGCAGCTTCTAATTTGGGATGAGAGACAGATTATCCATGGTTTTATTTGCTATGCAAGGAAAGCAATGTGCAGTTTATGCATTGGGGTGAAACATGTGGCCTGGATTTCTTGGGGTAACAGGTAGTTTGCCCAATTTTATGTTCAATCCTGCAACCACATTTCTAGTTTACATAACATAAGAACATAAGAATGGCCATATTGGGTCAGACCAAAGGTCCATCCAGCCCAGTATCCTGTCTACTGATAGTGGCCAATGCAAAGTGCCCCAGAGGGAGTGCACTTAACAGGTAAAGATCAAGTGACCTCTCCTGCCATCCATCTCCACCCTCTGACAAACAGAGGCTAGGGACATTCCTTACCCATCCTGGCTAATAGCCATTAGTGGACTTAACCTCCATGAATTTATTGAGTTCTCTTTTAAACCCTGTTATTGTCCTAGCCTTCACAACCTCCTCAGGCAAGGAATTCCATAGGTTGACTCTGCTGAGTGAAGAAGAACTTCCTTTTATTTGTTTTAAACCTGCAACCCTTAGTTTGCTTAACTCACTAGAACTGGAAATGTC